AGGTGCATAAGGAGAGCAATAATTCCCAAGATATTTCAACTTCTGGGCTAAAAATTATTCAGATTATATCTAATACTTATTTTTCTATCAATGTACACCTATGTAAATATGTTCTTCACTGAGGAACCTTAGAAGAAAATTTGAAGTGGGAAATGGTTCCTGTTCTTGAGTAGGAAGTTTCATTTTTCTCAAGATGTGAGCTCTTTGTGTATCAACTTTACATAAACCAAATAAAAATATCAAAGTTTTAACATTTGAAAGTTAAACTTGTCTGTCTTTTGCTATTGTGATGACATTAAAATTTTTGTTGTGGTGAGGTGAGAATGACTTGCCTTTCTGTATGCAAAATGTGCTATTAGTTTCCACAAATTGTTTATTAATAGCTGAAAAGACAGACAAATGAATGAAGCAGAATAGAAGATCTACAATTGCCCAAACAGTGTGCATAATCCCAGCTCATGCCTGTAATTCCAGCATTTTGGGAGGTCGAGGCAGGTGGATCACTTGAGGTTGGGAGTTTGAGACCCTGACCAACATAGAGAAACCCCATTTCTACTAATAGTACAAAAATTAGCTGGGCACAGTGGTGCACGCCTGTAAACCCAGCTACTCAGGAGGCTGAGACAGAATTGCTTGAACCCTGGAGGTGGAGGTTGCGGTTAGCCGAGATTGTACCATTGCACTCCAGCCTGGACAAGAGCGAAACTCTGTCTCAAAGAGAAAAAAAGAATTGCCCAAATACATGTAAGCATTTAGAACTTGATAATGGTGACATTTCAGATTAGTAGGAAAAGGTGAATTATTCGTAAATTAAATGCCTGCTGTTTGGATAAAACTTAACTAGAGTTTTATGTCACAAAAATAAATTCCTGATGAACTATAGATCAAACATTTTAAATATACAAAATAGGGAAAGTACCAAAAGAAGACACACATGCGTATTTCTACAAATACCTTTTTATGTTGACAAAACCGTCCTAAGAACTTCACAAGCAAGCATTCTAAATAAAGGTTGATTGAGCAAAATAAAACTTAAAACACTCTATATAAGAAAAAAAGACAACCTACTTGCAAAATGTTTACAACATATACATATAATACATCAGATGAAATGTATCTTCATATTACAGATAATTCAAATCAACAAGAAAATAATTCTAAATTTGGGCAAAGTACTTTTTTGCAGATCTATAAGTGACCTATATACATAAGAAAAAATTACTTAATGTTTCTTTCTTTCTTCTTCTTTTTTTTTTTTTTTTGATAAAGATATAGAGACAGGGTTTCACCATGTTGGCCAGGCTGGTCTTGAACTCCTGACCTCAGGTAATCCGCCTGCCTCAGCCTCTCAAAGTGCTGAGATTACAGGCATGAGCCACCACACCCGGCCTGATGTTTCTCGTAAGAGAAGGAATTCATGTTTAAAGAGAAATAAAATACTGTTTCCTATCCACAAAGTTTGTGAGCATGAAGACAGTGGTACTTATATAACTGCTTAAAGTTTAAGTTGCTAATGACTTTTCAAAAAGAGAATTTGGTGGTAAGCACCACATTTAAAAAACATATACGCCCTTTACTTATCAATTCCGTTATGCTGAAATATCTGTAAATAAAGGTACATCCAATTTGTTTTTCTCAGTACTGCTTCAAACCTCAATGTACTAAGAAGAACACATATGGTGGATTTTTGAACTAAATTTCAGTGCATCCATAGGATGGAATAGGAACCGTTGAAGGTGTGACTAGATGCAGACTTATTTTGACATGTGAATATGTACTTTACTATACCAAGTGAGAAAAAAATTGTTTTGATTGTACATACACACATACTATACCCCTGTTTTAGCTGAAAATATGTACCAAATGTGATTACATTTATTTCTGGGCATTTGTACTATAAGTAACTTTTTTTTCTTATCTGTGATTTCTACAATGAGCATGTATAAAAGTTATAGTAAAAGCTTGTTATTAATGAAATAATCTTTGGGAAAGCAGAATATATGAGATTTGCTCAGATAAAAATAATTTCTCACTTTCTATTATTTTTGTGGTTTGGTCTCTTCAGTGAACTTTTAGCCTCTTCTGGAGAAGGGGGAATCCTTTTGTCTGTGCTTAAAGGTTTTATTATGAATACGTTTTTATTATATACATATGTTTTAATTATATATAGATTTACTACATATATGCAAAAATAGATGAAAATTTTAGTTCAGTTATGTTCTTATGAAAATAAAAAATAGCAAATATAAGTGATTATTACTATTGCAAATGTATTGCTTTATTTTCTGGGAGTTTTCATTTAAAATGTTGAACTCCCCAACTGTGTTTTTCCATTTTTTGTTTTTATAAAAAAAGTTCTTTTTGAGGCAGGCTCTCACCCAGGCTGGAGTGCAGTGCCACAATTATGGCTCACTGCAGCCTCAACCTCCTGTGCTCAAGTGATCCTCTCCTCAGCCTCCTGAGGAGCTGGGACTGCCGGTGTGCACCACTATGCCTGGTTAATTTTTGTACTTTTTGTAGAGACAGGGTTTCACCATGTTGTCCAGGCTAGTCTCAAACTCCTGCACCCAAGTAATCCTCCCACCGTGGCCTCCCAAAGAGCTGGAATTACAGACATGAGGCACCATGCACAGCCTCTATTCTTTCAGTTGATTTATTCGTCAAACATAAGCTGAATACCTGTTATGTAGCACACATATATTACCATCTTTCAGGATCCTTTTTTCCTTAAAACTTCATAGTTACCTGCCCAGTTTGAGCAAGCTGCGAGATTTAATATTGGAGTATTAGAACTTAGTCTCAATTGAAACTTTTCCTTCCTCCTTTCAAACAAAAGCACTTCTGAGGGTAGAAAATAGCAAAATAAAACTTTTTTTTTTTGAGATGGAGTCCCAAACTGGAGTGCAACGGTGTGATCTTGGCTCACTGCAACCTCTGCCTCCTGGTTTCATGTGATTCTCTTGCTTCAGCTTCCAGAGTAGCTGGGATTACAGGCATGTGCCACCATACCTGGCTAAGTTTTGTATTTTTAGTAGAGATGGGATTTTGCCATGTTGGCCAGGCTGGTCTCAAACTCCTGACCTCAGGTGATCCACCCACCTTGGCCTCCCAAAGTGCTGGGGTTATAGGCGTGAGCCACCATGACTGGCTGCAAAATATAATTTTTAACTGCCCTTTTGAAAATTTATGACAGTTTTAAATGTGAATATTAATCATTGGAAGTGCCTAGTTTACATTCATTCTATAAATCTAAATAGAAAATAAGCAATACTCTTTCATTTGAATTCTGAGTTTCTTTTGGCTTAAAGCATTTTTTTTGAAAATCAAAGTAAGAATGCGTTTGTTTTAAACATTTGTTGTCATCTTCATTTTCAGTCCTCTTGTTCTATAGTAGTTTTGAGAACTAAAATTTATTTAAATGCAATTTATATGACTAGAACTCTTCTTTTTTTTTTTTTTTTTTTTTTTAATTTTTTATTGGATTATAGGTTTTGGGGTACATGAGCAGAGCATGCAAGACAGTTGCGTAGGTACACACATGGCAGTGTGCTTTGCTTTTCTTCTCCCCTTCACCCACATTTGGCATTTCTCCCCAGGCTACCCCTCCCCACCTCCCCCTCCCACTGGCCCTCCCCTTTTCCCCCCAATAGACCCCAGTGTTTAGTACTCCCCTTTCTGTGTCCATGTGTTCTCATTTTTCATCACCCACCTATGAGTGAGAATATGCGGTGTTTCATTTTCTGTTCTTGTGTCAGTTTGCTGAGGATGATGTTTTCCAGATTCATCCATGTCCCTACAAACGACACGAACTCATCATTTCTGATTGCTGCATAATATTCCATGGTGTATATGTGCCACATTTTTCCAATCCAGTCTATTATCGATGGGCATTTGGGTTGATTCCAGGTCTTTGCTATTGTAAACAGTGCTGCAATGAACATTCGTGTACATGTGTCCTTATAGTAGAACGATTTATAGTCTTTTGGATATATACCCAGTAATGGGATTGCTGGGTCAAATGGAATTTCTATTTCTAAGGCCTTGAGGAATCGCCACACTGTCTTCCACAATGGTTGAACTAATTTACACTCCCACCAACAGTGTAAAAGTGTTCCTTTTTCTCCACATCCTCTCCAGCATCTGTTGTCTCCAGATTTTTTAATGATCGCCATTCTAACTGGCGTGAGATGGTATCTCAATGTGGTTTTGATTTGCATCTCTCTGATGACCAGTGACGATGAGCATTTTTTCACTAGAACTCTTCTAGATGTGGTTGTATACATCAATTCTACTTATTGCAAGGCATCATGGATTGTGTGATACCCCATCATTTTGTATCTCAATAAGAGAATTATTTAAATGTGGCCAATTTTAGTTTAATAAGTCAAGAATTATAAGTGGGATTCTAATGTTAGAGATGTTAAAATATGAGCAAATGAGCAACTTAGAATTATCAAAAGACAATGTTACCTCTAATGTTTAAACATACCTCGAAGTAGATATAATTGTATCATTTTACTTAACTAAAATCTTGTCTTTGTTAAGTAGTAGCATTAATAATAATTATAATATCTAACAAATATTGAGGTGTTATTTGTGTTAGGAACTCTTCTCAATACTTTGCATAGAGTCTCATGGAAGCATCAAAATAGTGTCCTGTGAGACAGTCAATATTTTTAACCCCCATTTTATTAATTAGGAAATTGAGGCAAGAAAGACTAAGGAATAGGTTGGTAATGACAGAGTTTAAAGTAGGATTCCCATCCAAGTTGAACTGAATCCAAAGGCCCAAGTATTTCTACTGAAATAGGCTGCTCTTTATGCAGTGAGTGATAATAGGGGGTGAAAAGTATGATTGCCTCACCACAAATTAAATGTTTGTTTGGAAGGTAGAGAAATCACATGCTACTCAATGTTTATAATTACCTAGATGATTTTATGTGTTCAGATGATTTTATGTTTTCAGATAGTTTCCTAAAAATGTTGTCTCCCTTTCATAGGACTGCCCTGCATTTGGCCTCTGCCAATGGCCATCCAAAAGTGGTAGCTCTTCTGGTGAACAGTGGATGTCAACTTAATGTCTTTGATGACAAAAACAGGACAGCTCTAGTAAAGGTACATACTAGCCAATGATTTCAGCATGAGATGGATTTGGTACAAACCATAGAATAAAATACAATTCATCTTGTTTAAGCATAACTCATTGGTGAAAGTTGTGGAATGCTTATTTTGAACTCCTAGAATTTACAATCTATTGTTTGGTCTAATACTGACAGGCGGTGCAATGCCAGAAAGAGGAATGTGCGACTACTTTGCTAAAACACGGTGCTGACCCAGATCTTTCAGATATCTATGGCAACACTGCCCTACATTATGCTGTCTACAATGAGGATATCTCAATGACAGAAAAGCTGCTTTTGCATAATGCCAATATTGCATTAGCAAACAAGGTATAGATCAACAAACTTTATTTTCAAAATATTTGAAATGCATTTGTTGCACTGACTGATGTATGGGTCAGTTTTTCATGTTTGGGAACTCCAGCATAACCTAAATAAAAATATTTGGAAATAATTATAAAACTTTAAAATATTGATACTTTTAAAGAAGCATTAGAGGGTACATCTTTTTTATGTATAGTAAACAGTTTTGAAGACACTGAATTTGTAAAAGGTAATGCTTTTTCATTTTTTTCTCCCAGGTTTTTTTTTTTCTAATTAGTATACAATGATCCTGGAAAGTAGAATTTGCTCTGGAATTAGGCTTTATCTTAAAGTGTCAAGAACTAAAACATTTTAAATAAACAGAAATCTTGATGCCGATGACAAGTTCCTACATAGAGTAATATATACGAAAGTGATTTGATTCTCAGTGGTGGGGCTTAAGAGGGAAAAATGGAAAGGGAAAGGAAAGCAATCAGAAATATGCAGGCCAATTTGGAAATTAGGTAATTGAGGGAAAAGACCAAGAAGATTGTTTGTTGTTTTTTGCTTTCGTTTGCTTCTTTGTTTCCGGTTTATGTGTCTAGACAAGATTCTTTTCAGTTTTGGGGATTATAGTTTTCAGTTTGGGAGACAGTTAATGAGTTGTACACTTGTCTAGAGATCAATTTTAGGAGGACTGTGAGGAAACCAGATTGGCTGTGAATAGTTGGTGATGAAGTGGGAAACCCTTAAGCAAGTAATTAACTGACTTATCCTATTCTGGCAGAAACAGCCACTTAGATAAACGTCTAAACTCTGTTCTCAAATCTAGACTGTCTTGAGGGTAAGGTGGGAGATAAGGAGTTTATATATAGCAAAGTCAAGTTGGATTTTGAGTTTACTAGTCCCTATTCTTCTTCTACCCAAATTACATGGAGTTTTCAGTAAATAACTCTCTCTTACTCTTTCCTCTTTTTTGGCCAAATCCTCAAAGAAAAAGGTAATTTGTCATTTGGTGAGATATGATGGAAGCAATTGTCAATTGGACTAGCTCTCAGCTAGAATTGTGCATAACTGTAACCTAGGGAAATTAAAAAAAAAATCTACAAAGCTAACCTCTCCTCTGACGATTTTGATATAGTAAATCTAATAAAGTCTAGACACGTATGTTTAAAAATATTTCCTTGGAGCCAGGCATGGTGAGACATGGCTGCAGTCCCAGTCACTCAGGAGGCTGAGGTAGGGGTATTGCTTGAGCCCAGGAGTTTAAATCTAAACTAGTCAACAGAGTAAGACCCCGTCTCTGACTAAATAACAGCAAGTTCATCAGAATTCTGTTACATTCCTGGTTAAGAATCACTAAACACATAAGTGTAATATATAAATTATCATCTCCCAAAACTCTTCTAGAATTAAGAAATCTCTAGAAAAGTAGGCGTTTGATAGGTACTACTTTAGATTTCTCCTTTTCAATATTAGCCCATTTTTCTTTACCTTTGTGGTTGGGAAGCTAAAAGAAATATTATGGCAATAGACAGCACAGTTTCCTTCCCACCATTAGTTATTCACTGCCATTCAGAGAGTGTTTATAAATTTGCTCTGGGTAGTCTTTCTTTTTTAAATATTTTTTGAGACAGGATCTTGCTTTGTCACCTAGGCTGGACTGCAGTGGCACAATCACAGCTCAGTGCAGCCTCAACCTCCTGGAGCTTAAGTGAGCCTCCGACCTTAGCCTCCTGAGTAACTGAGACTACAGACATGTACCATCATGCCAAGCCAATTTTTAATTTTTTTGGTAAATACAGGTTTTCACTATGTTGCCTAGGCTGGCCTCAAACTCTGGGCTCAAAGAGTCCCGCGTCAGCTTCCAAAAGTGCTGGGATTACAGATGTGAGCTACTGCACTCAGCCTGGGACGTGTTTCACTAAGTGGAGGCTGACCCCTTCAGGACTTCACATGTCTTTATTAACATTCATGTGATTAGGTCAATAAATCTTTATTACCAGTGAGTGTCCTCAATTAGAATTGTAGCAAATTCTAAACCTTTTTTTCATTGAAGCTGTATTATGGGCTATATCATTGCATATGTTCATAGAGTTTAGGCATAAACAGGATGACAGTTTTAAACCCTGAAAACCATGAAGTTACTAAGAGCACAGATGGAAATTTTTAAAATGACTTTGTTTCATCATTCCTATGAACTAAATATTTGGTTGACAATCTCAGAAAACTACTTACTAATATATTTTAAATGAATAAATGTTAGAAAAATTATTGAAGTGGGTACTGTGAGTCTTAGAAGCAAATTTTATTACATGTTGGGGACGGTTTTTTTGGTGACACATTCAAAACCAAAGAAAGAAAATAGTTAACATGCAAATACTTGCTTTATACACAACCATGTGGTAACATATCCATGGCAAGTTAAAAAATGCAAGGGCTATGGTCTAAATGTGGCCCATAGGTATGTTTCACTTGCCTTCATAAATTGTGTCAACATGTAAAATTTAGGAGACTAATACATAAATCTGGACTTTAGGCTTCTCTTAAGCATCCAATCTGGTGTCCCTTGAGCTCATATCACTGTTTGGTCTATTGTGCAGAGGTTGCCCCTTTCTCTGAGGCCTGCGTTCTCTAGTTTGCTGTGGTGCCCATCTGGGCACCTCACCTAGGCCACCCCCTTTGCCCTTGTAAGCATTTGACAACTCTCATCTTACAGTATATTTTGATGAAGACATCAAGGCTTTCAAGACAGTTTCTATTTGTTTATAATCTATATTTTATATAAATCCCTTAGCATTGGGGTTGAATTATAAAATTTAGAAGTTTTAAAAAACTGATAAATTCTATATTCTCTTTATTTATGGTACATATTCTTTATATTTAATGTAAGATAACTCTTATTCTTTATGTTTGCCATAAATAAGCGCCTTCTCATTAGCATGCTGGTAAGTCTTTCTAGCTGGATGTGTTATGCATATTGCAGACAACATTATATCTTTCTCCTCAGCATCATTCCTTAGAAATGCAAGTGATTTAGTGACTTCTATCATGACAGGGATAGATAGATCAGTAGAACTTTTAATGATAAGCCATTGTATTTTTATTTCTGATTCATATTTTTTTCTAAAATAAAATGTAAAAAAAAGTGCTGGGATTACAGGCATAAACCACTGCCCTAGCCGAAACTGAATTTTAAAAGTCAATATGAGACTGGGCGTGGTGACTCACGCTGTAATCCCAGGACTTTGGGAGGCCGAGGTGGGTGGATCACCTGAAGTCAGGAGTTCTAGACCAGCCTGAACAGCATGGTGAAACCCCATCTCTACTAAAAATACAAAATTAGCCAGGCGTGGTGGTGCATGCCAGTAGTGCCAGCTACTTGGGAGGGTGAGACAGGAGAATTACTTGAACCCTGGGAGGCAGAGATTACAGTGGGCAAGATTCTATCATTGCATTCCAGCCTGGGTGACAGAGCGAGACTCCATCTCAAAAAAAAAAAAAAAATTAAAAAAATAAAGGCTGGACTCAATGGCTCATGCCTGTAATCCCAGCACTTTGAGATGCCAAGATAGGCAGATCACCTGAAGTCAGGAGTGTGAGACCAAACTGGCCAACATGTTGAAACTCCATCTTTACTAAAAGTATAAAAATTAGCTGGGTGTGGTGGCAGGCACCTGTAATCCCAGCTACTTGGGAGGCTGAGGCAGGAGAATTGCTTGAATCTTGGAGGCAGAGGTTGCAGTGAACTTAGATCGTGCCATTGCACTCCAGCCTGGGCAACAGAGCCAGACTCCATCTCAGAAAAAAAAAATTAAAATAAGTAGATATGCATTAAGGTCCTAGGATTAGAATGACAATTGAGAATAACATTTTATATAGAAGTTTCTAATGGCTAAAATAAAAATCTATTCTCTTTAAAAAGGAGAAAACTCATGGATCGTTTACTAATAAGCAGTGGAAGTTCATTTGAAGCTGATTTAATTCACAGACCATTTTCTCAGTGACTCATTTGCAGCAGGAGTGCCTGACATTGGCATCTGGGATTCTGACACCATTGACATAAGAGAAGCAAGTGACTTTGTATATAACCTGGAGGAAACCTCCACCTTATTGGAAAACTTTCACAGCTGTAGCCCTGAAATTCTGATTTCTCAAATGCCAATGTTTGCCACAAAACAGTGTTGTCAAAAAGGGATTAGGCAAAATGTAAGAGATTTCTTGACTACTGGACATATAGTGCACAGTTCTGTACCATTTCTCAAACATCCATGATCATGGAATCCTCCTGTTGGAGTACAGTCTTTAACATCTGGTAAGGTAAACATTCTTTGGAATGCAGTGTAAGAAACACTGCTCTAGAGGCAATAATTTAGATCATTAATGTAAACACTTGAAGCATTTACTAATATTTCTTAAGACTTGGGAACATAGATATAGAAGATAAAGCCCCTGCTCTCAAGAAGCTCTTGGTTTACATGAAAAATAGTAAAATCATTGCAATATACTATGCTAAGTGCTGTGACAGAGCAAAGATTATTGGAACTGGTATTGAAGTGAGTTTTGGAGATGACCAGACTTCATGTGATGAGGTGGAAGAAGTTTTTCCATGGGAAGAAACAACAAACAGGAAAGCACAGGAGAATAAAAAGGAAGGGACTACTTATTATTTAATTTCTATATTATATGTTTAAGTCTGTAGAATCTTACATAAATATAAGGTTTCCAATTCAGATGAGAAGTATGTAATTTTGTGAGTTATCAGTTCTTCTTGCTGTTTTACAGGATGAACTCACACCATCTTTACTAGCTGTACATGAAGAAAAACAGGAAATGGTACAATTTTTCATAAAGCGAAAAGAAAATTTAACTGCAGTTAAGTTTGAAAGGTACAGTAATTAGTTTTTTTTTAAAAAGCTGGCTGATATTCTATAGTGACAACGGTCTCTCTAGTTAGAAATATTAGATTAACTTATAATTATTGTGAGATAGTAAAAAATATCAACACAAATCATTGGTTAAGTAGAAAAACTATTGAGGCTGGGCAACATAGAGAACAGTATATAGTAGGATTCATCTTCTCTTATTATATTGACTGGTGTTTGTTATTTGTAATGTGATGTTTTTGGTCATATGATCTGACCAAAGGGTTTTTATATTCGTTTTATTAGTTTTATGAAATGTGGATTTTAACTTTTAGTATACTTTAAGACTTAATAAATATTGAACTTCTTAACCCTTTCATAGTAGTTTTTTTACCTTTGTTCTTATATGCTATTCCTATAAACATGCTGTGTTACACATAAATCATTATTTCTTCTAGATCACTTTTTAAGTTGCTTCCTTTGAAAAATAGTAATGTTAAGTTATTCCTACATGGTTATTAATTGCTATTACCAGATACTTTGGGTTCGTTAGTTTTCTTATATTTCATGTCTAGTGTAGTTTGATGTTATTACTATTATTATTGTATTGTAGGCAAAGTCTTGCTCTGTTGCCCAGGCTGGAGTGCAGTGGCATGATCTTGGCCCACTACAACCTCTGCCTCCCGAGTTCAAGTGATTCTCCTGCCTCAGCCTCCTGAATAGCTGGGATTACAGGCACACACCACCATGCCCAGCTAATTTTTTGTATTTTTAGTAGAGACAGGGTTTCACCATGTTAAACAGGATGGTCTCTATCTGACCTCATGATCTGCCCTCCTTGGCTTCCCAAAGTTCTGGGATTACAGGCTTGAGCCACTGTTCCCGGCCCTGATGATTTTATTTGTAATTGCTATGGGAAGAGGGAGAAAATATAGCTTTAAATGAATAGCCTTTTCTTCTAAGGAAGACAAGCCATAGATGGGTAATAAAGAGGAAAGAGCTAGGCTTTAGATTCACACCAGACTGGGTTTAAATCCTAGCTTTCTCTCTTGTTAGGTGTGTGAGCTGGGAACATTACTTATCACCAAATGTGTTTTTCTATATGAAAAGGAGGACAATAATATATCCTTCAAGGGTGATTGTGTGGAAGAAAGATATATATATATATATGTATGTATATGTAGCATTTAATTCAGTGCCTAGCACATGTGTTTAGGCATCATCAACTGAAACTACTATGATTATTATTATTGCCATTATTATCATTTCCTGCCCGCAGACAGCTCTTACTTATCTGACCCCTAGCTGATTTTGAATTACAATATATCTGTCTTTAAATCTTTGCTTGCATTAGATAAGTAACCTCAGCATAGTTTCTTGCTCATCAAAGAACTTTAAGTTAGCAATATCTATGATGTAATACCCTACTGGGACAAGAGGCTTCCTTTTTGTCCCCCCCGCCTTTTCTTTTAGCATTGGTGGTAATTTATGAAGATGAACACTTAGGCACCCAAGATGCTTATGTTTGTTAGTACATGTAAATGTTTAATTCTACATGAACAGGCAAGATATTAAATTGGCAAAAATATGAAACTAGCTTTTTAAATAACTTTCTTAAAGTTCCTAAGAAAGAATTTATCTCTCTGGTATTTTTGAACAGCCCTCATTCTTGCTGTACATTGTGCATCAGCAAGTATAGTCAGCCTTCTTCTTCAGCAAAATGCTGATGTGTTTTCTTAAGATCTGTCTGGATGGACTGCAGAAAATTATGTCATTTCTAGTCCTTTTACTAGGCAAGTTTTTATATTAGAAGGCTAGCTTACACTAAATTGCAGCTTAAAATAATTATAGCTATTATATCCTATATATCAGGTGAGATTTTGTAGTTTAATTCAGGTCATCTTGGGATGACAGTCCACTTTAACAGCCAGAAATCAGGCAAAATGCTACTAGACTGGTTAGAAGTATCAATGGGTGCAGAATTCTTTATCTCAGGACTTTTGAGATCTTTGTCTTAGAGATCCAATCATTGTCCCATTTACACCAAGTATAGCCACATGCACAGGATAAAAATAGTGCCACATCTCTGATTTTTCTGAGTAATTTGGGTCTTGAAATGTTCCGTTTAGCAGAAAATCTTGTACTGTGTTCTGAGGGCTATCCTCCTCAGAACTTTCTGAGGGCTATACCCTCCTCCTTGAATTTTTCAAGAACCTAAGGGGTTTCCTAAGTGCAAGAAGGAAAAAAAAAGACAATCCTTTACCAGTGAGAAGGAAGGGAAGAAAACAACATTGTAACCATTCTGTTGTTTCCATTCTTTTCCTGCATTATTGCCATTGAAAGTGGTTCCCCTTCTGTTAATGCTTGACTTTTCCATCAGGATTCACTTACTGCTTCAGAGTACTCAGTTTTCATGGTGATTCATACGTAGACTTTATAGTTACAACTTTTTTTTGTTAACAAATGTGTATGCTCAGCCGTTGTTCCCAAAGCATCCTGCTCTGACAGCTGGGCATTCTAGCTTTAGCCACACACATGGTGAGAAAACTGACCAAACTTCCTCCACATTCAAAACCTTATGTGGAGCCCCATCTTAGCCTAGACATAGCCCAGGACTTCATGGTAAGTTATCCTTTGAGGCCTCATTGTCTTTTCTCTATCAAATATTAGTTGAGATTGTTCCAAACTGTTAAAGAGGATCAAATTATGTTGCAGAAAGAGATCAGTGTTTGTTTACTCCATTGCCACCATATCTGTACCTGGAGGCTCCTTTATATCCTGTTTAGCACATTTTCTTAGGGAGTGGAAGGTTCTATATTATCCTTCCCCTCAGCATGGGTGCCAATTTGTGGGGTTTTTTCTTTTCTTTTTTTTTCTTTCCAATTTGTAGTTTTATCCTCAAGTAATCTGTTTTCCACAATAATGAAAATCTCCCAAGTTACTTGCATTTCTACCTTAAGTTTTAAAAATATTTTCATATTCTACCTCACAGGAAGTCATTCAACAGAATTCTCTGAATATCAAGTAGGTTTATTGGGTTTATCAGAGCTAAGCCTCATCCATGACTGATGAGTATTCACGTATAAAGTAGGGTTTTACGCTTGCTTCAGCAGCTCACATACTAATACTGGAATAATACAGAGAAAATTAACATGGCTCCTGCGTAAGGATGACACACAAATTCATGAGGTGGTTCATATTTTGTGCAGTCCCTGGAAGGTCCTTTGACAATTTTCTGATTAGCTCCAAGGAAACAGCATGAGTCAAAGCAAAATGGTTGGCACTTAATATTGAAATTGTGATCTTCACTACCAAAATATTCACATATTGTGATCTATGGAACGAGAATGGAGCTGAGTAAAGCATGCAGATGTTGTTTGCAAATATATTGTTAGTATGTATCTCAGAAGTGAGAAAATGTCACCTTGCATCTCCTTCATGGAACTTAAAAAAATAGTTTTATCTTTTGTGTCAGATGGAGGTAAACATGGAGATTAAGCGTCATTCTACAAAGATCTACTGGCTCAGAGTTTGAGTCTGTAAAGTAGAATCATAGTCCAAGGCAGGTCTTGATATCCATTAGTTTTCTGCCCTTGGTGTGATTGATGAGCTCAGTAACAGTGGATAATTATGTTTTCTAATTTAATGAGATAATATGTTTATAAATAAATGTAGTTACAAACTATGACATATATGAGATGCCCTAAATTAAAAGCCACAAAGAGTGGAACACCTTATAAACAAAATTAGGATTTAATAACATTTCCCCAAAACCACAATGTTTCGATATTAGAACATGTAAAAAACACCTTGGACTTTATTTGCAGTTCCAAGATAGTTTCACCAATAACGTTCAAGAACAAATTATTTCATTGCTTCACTGTTTTTCTGAGCGTTCAAAACATGTTATCTCATTAAATTTTTATAACAACATAGTGAAATAGGACAGTAAAATTCTCACTTTTTAGAAGAAGACATTGAACCTAACAAAAGCAACTTACTCAAGAACTAATAGCTTTTGACTATAGAGCTAGGGCTTTTTTCTGAATTAGGGCACTTTCCATTATGTTAGGCTAATGCAAGTTAATTTACTGAACTCTACTGCCTTCAATTCATGAGAACTTCATGTTTCTTTTTTTCATTCTTTGATTAGAAGCTTAAAGAGAAGTTTGTAGAGCTTACAAATGAGAAGTGTATGGGATAATTAAAGGTCTAAAATTAACTCCAATATTATTTGAAATACTCTAAGAATTTAATATATTTGGTAATTGTTTTTATATCAGTTTTAAAATAGTAATTTTACTTATTGCATTTTTAGACATAGCATTCACCAACTAATGTATGAATACAAAGAAAATAAGACAGCTGGAAATCCTCAAAATAGCAATCCAGGTAAGACTTCCAGGTAAATTACCATAGATTAACAAATAAGAGTAAGGAAGTTTTAATTACCAAAGAGCAGCTTAAAAACTCACTATGTAAATTGCATATATACATATATGTGTGTGTGTTTTAAATTTCTTCTTAGTAGGTTAGATTTCAAAATTATTAAAAAAGTTATGTGTAGATAATTCATAATCTCAAACCGTATTATCTGAATCATTTCTTTAATTGTAGTCCCTAAAATCTCATATATTTTTGTATAAATAAGAAAAAAGATTTTTAAGTTAGTATGTGGTATGTTTTATTTATAGTCTCATTATAACAAATGGAAGGTGTTATGAAATTGGAGCATCTATTTAATTTTTAATATAAATGTTTTTGTTTAGTAAATAAATATCAATTACAGTTGACCGTTGAACACATAGGACTTAGGGGTACTGATCCCCTGTGCAGCTGAATATCTGTGTATAACTTTTGACTTGCCCCAAAATTAGCTACTAATAGGTAACTATTGACCAGAAACAGTCAGTTAAGACGTCTGATATGTTATGTGTGTTACCATATTATATTCTTATAAGAAAGTGGGGTAGAGAAAAAATGGTTATTAACAAAATCATAAGGAATAAAAATATATTTACTGTTTATTAAATGGAAGTGGAAGTGGGTCATCCTCATCTTCTCCAAGTTGAGTAGGCTGAGAAGAAGGAAGAAGAAGGAGATTGGTCCTGCTGTCTCAGGTGGTAGAGGTGGAAGGAAATTTGCATATAATTACACCACTGCAGGTCAAGTTCCTGTTATTCAAAGGTCAACTGTATTACATAGTGATTATGTCACTAAAAAAAAAAAATTAACTTTTTAAAACTAGGAACTCAACAATACCTTTTTGGTAACATAAACAAATGTCACTAAGAACTGCAAAACTTACCCAGTGGGCACTAATACTAACAGAAGATTATTATTATTATTATTTTTTAGCAGAACAGCATGCTTTTATTTTAACATCACGCATAAAAAGAAGACAAATATGCCAATGGTACATTTCCAATTTGTCAGAGCAATTTCACAGTATTTAAAAGCGATTTAGGAAAAAAGACACATCACTTACTAACAAAAATTGTTACCAGGGAAAATTATCATATAAGACAAAGACAATCAATTAAACCACTTTTGTAGATTATTTTTCCATAAAGGCAATTTGACAAGCCTAAGACCAAGTTATTCAAACTATGTTTCTAGGAGTATAGTTTAACAGAAACAAGAACAAGCTGAAAACTATTATAAGTATTCATATGTTTCTACATTGTACAGGAAAGTAAGACTACTGTTCTTCCAAATGTTCCCAAGTGAAATCAAAAGAATGTACAGCTCAATTTTCACAATAAGCAGAACCAAAAAAGTAAGATTTTACAAAATCCTAGTAAAATAACAATCTTCCACATAAATTGGGTCACAAAACAAGAAAGCAAGCATTCAAGGTTGCACTGTGTTTCTTTAAAGAACCCTTGTCTAGGCAACAATTTAACACTTTAACCCCTTCAATTATCCTTTAGGGATCCTGAGAAAAGTATTTCTCCATTCATCACCACTGGGGAGTAAGTACTCCTTCCTCCTCAGCTCAGTCTTCATTCTAGGCCCAATTTTTACCTGGCCCATGCCTCTAGCCTTTTGTTCGGTTTTCCCTGCTTAGTGCACCCATCACAATCTCTTTAGTTCTTCCATCCGTTATAAAGTAGATCTCATGTTTCATTCCATCCAGATGTGTCTCCCTTTAAGTATTCTAGGAGTTGATAAAAGGGATAGAAAGTTGGGAAGAGAGAAGGGGGCGTGGGGGGGAGCAATAAGAGCTGTATTTTACAGGACAACCTCTTTGTCTCTGAAAATGACAGAGCCAAAATAAACTAAAGTTTGCTTTTACAAATGTTTCTAAGCTTTTACTTTTTTTTTTTTTTTTTAAGAGACAGGATTGGGAGGCTGAGGCAGGCAGATCACTAAGTCAAGAGTTTGAGACCAGTCTGGTCAGCATGGTGAAACCCCGTCTCTACTAAAAATACAAAAATTAGCCGGGCATGGTGGCACGCGCCCGTAGTCCTAGCTACTCGGGAGGTTGAGGCAAGAGAATTGCTTGAACCCGGAGGCGGAGGTTGCAGTAAGCCGAGATCCAGCCTGGGCGACATAGCAAGACTCCGTCTCAAAAAAAGAAAAAAGAAAGAGAGAAATAGGAGCAAAAAGGAAGAGGGAGAGAGGGACCTTGGCAGCAGCCAAAGCAGGGCAGGTAGCAACAGAAAGTGATTAGAGGTGAAGGAAGAACAATGAAGTAGCATAAATCACACAGAACAAGTAGCTCCACTGCTTTTCTCCTCTGAGTTCATTAACGTTCAGTAACTGTCCACAGGCCATGTGCCCATATTGCCCGATGCAGTGTTAAGTAGATAGAATAGGCTCCTAAAGCTAGAAATCCAGGTGACAGCAACCAGTTCAGAGGCCCTGGGAATTAACAGGGTCCAAGCAGTGCAAATAAAGGCAGTACCATCTACAGTATCATTCGCTTGGCTTAGTAGTCTGAAGGATGGCGTCGTAGCATGTGATATTCCAGAACAGCATGGAAGTGGAGAAGCATACCCACCACCGCCTCAATCTTGAGGTTGAGAGAAGTGAATATCCAAAGGAAAGAGGGTGCAGAAAAGTCAGCAAAAACAAAACACAGTAGAAGGCATACCATTTCTGTTGCCCAAGCACAGGTCCAGCAGGTGGTGGTAGGAGACCTCGCGCAGGAGTATTCCCAAGGGCAAACGTTAACCCGACTGGAACCCAAAGGGCCTGGGGATCTCAACTGGCTCCCTTAGTGGCGACATCTGGCTCTACGGACTCCTTCACGCAACAGGTAGTATTGCAGTGGACTTGGCCACAGATCCTCTTTAATAATTTCAGCAATTTTGTGGGACTCTGGAAGGCTGTGGTCTGAGAACCAGGTGAAGAAGCTGCAGATGAGGTCTTGGTTTCTGCGAATGGAGGACTGGGGTTCATGCCCCCTGTGCCATATAATTGGAGTGGAAAGAGACACCACTCGGCCGGAAGATCTCACCTCATATTCCTTGACAATCAGCTTGTTTCTGAAGTAGGGGTTTCTTCTAAAGAAGAACTTGAACTTGCAGCAGTTCTAGGGTGTCTGAGTTCCTTCACCTCTAAATTGGTTATGTACCTTACCATATCTGCATCTTGGCCCCTGATCATGGCGGACAACTGGGGGTGGTTTCAAAAAGCAGTCATCCAGAAGCCCGGGATATTCTGAATGATGTAGTTCCTCCGCTCCAGGTAGTGTAGACGCATCCGCCCAAATTTGTGCTCTAGTTGTTGGAAGGCCCTATCGGCCTGAGCAGTCAGTGTCCAGTTCCTGCGGGATGGCCTCGGGAGGGTCCATGCGGAGAGCTTCATGCAGACGCCACGGCCCTTCCTCCTCCCTCGCCTCTACTTCTTCACCTTCTGGCGGCTGCTCCTCTACCTCCATCTGCTCCTCCACTACCTCCTTCTCCGCCAGGCCTTCCTTCACCACCACCTCAGCCCTGGCTGCTGAGACAGTGGCGCACTTTCCTCTCTTCACCTCCTCAGCCTTCGCCCCCGCAGTCAGCTCCGACGGGGACCTCCCGGCGTCACAGATTTCGAGGGCCTTCTCTCCATCCTGAACGCCCTTTTTCAGGCTGTGGTCCCCTGTCACCACCACAGAAGCGGCTGCCAGGCCCTCGGCAGGAGGCTGGCCCTCTTCCTGCCCGGCTGTGATCGCTACACGACCGCGACCCCCCACAACTTGGATCTGGGGAGTACCGCCACGGCCCGCGGGATCCTGGGGTACGCACCCTTCCTCTGAAGGCTCCCACACCCAGCTCCGCCATCACCTGTCGCCTCGCTTTCGTCCCGGAGCCTCAGGCACTGGCGTGCGTCCGGGTCGCCCGAGACGTGGTCAGAAATAGGGATGCTGTGCGTTTGAACGGGAGGGGTCTTCTCGACCCCGTCCAGGCCGCTCATGTTGGTTACAGTCGGACCCGCAGCAGGTCAACGCCCGTTTTTCTCAGAGAAGCAGCGCTCGGAGGTAACTGCTGCTCGCACCGCCCACCCTCCAGAAGATTATTTTTTAAACATAGCAAGTGTAGAAGTCAGAGAAGGAATTTCCTGTTAAAAAGCACAGGTCGTGTTACATATTATTATACCAACAAGGTCTCACTTATTGACTTCCTTCTTCCTAATTTGAAATTGAATGAGATACATTTACTTCATTAAAACAAGATCTACTAGTTAATTGTCATGATAGCTGTAATTTTGTTAGAGCAAAATAGTCTGTTACCAGTAGCCCAAAGGTTATTGTAGTGAGTGCCCAATAGCCAAACTCTAGGCTCAACAAATCATAATAAAAGTGCTTCACAATAACAAAAATGCTACTATGCTACCTCGATGTGACACGTAATACATTGTACAGTCTGAACTGTATGAGGACACTTTTAAATTAGTACATATTAATCAAATAACTTTTATAAGTTAGATTTTGCAAGCCACAGGTGACAAACACATAGTCTTGGTCTTTTTTTTTGAGATGAAGTCTTAATCTGTCACCCAGGCTGGAGTGCAGTGGTGCAAACTCGGCTCACCCCATCTTCCACCTCCTGGGTCCAGATGATTCTCCTGCCTCAGCCTCCTGAGTAGCTGGGACCACAGGCACGTGCCACCACCCTTGGCTAATTTTTTTGTATTTTTGTAGAGGTGGGGTTTCACGGTGTTAGCCAGATTGGTCTCCATCTCCCTACCTTCTGATCTGCCCACCTTGGCCTCCCAAAGTGCTAGGATTACAGGTGTGAGACACTGCACCTGGCCAGTCTTGGTCTTTAAGGTGCTCATATTAGACTACAGCAGTCCTTATTTCATATATTTTTTTCCCAAGATTATTATTATTATTATTATGTTTTTGAGATGGAGTCTCACTCTATTACCCAGGCTGGAGCGCAGTGGCATGATCTTGGCTCACTGCCACCTCCGCCTTCTGGATTCAAGCAATTCTCCCTGCATCAGCCTCCCAAGTAGTTGGGATTACAGATGCTTGCCACCATGACTGGCCAATTTTTGTATTTCTAGTAGAGACAGGGTTTCCCCATGTTGGTCAGACTTGTCTTGAGCTCCTGAGCTCAGGTAATCCACCTGCCTTGGCCTCTTACAGTGCTGAGATTACAGGCATGAGCCCCTGTACCTTGCTGACAATTTTCAAAGAAAATATTTCTATTCATTTATATACTTGGTCCATTTAACAAACTATCAAGTATCTTTTAGATAGTAAGCTTCTTTTTTTCCATGTTACAGAATACAGACATTTAAAAATACAGTTGGATTATGTATGGTGGCTCAGGCCTGTAATCCCAGCACTTTGGGAGCCCGAGGCAGGTGAATCACCTGAGGTCAGGGGTTTGAGACCAGCCTTGCCTACATGGCGAAACCCTGTCTCTACTAAAAATATAAAAATTAGTCAGGTATGGTGGTACATGCCTGTAATGCCAGCTACTTAGGAAGCTGAGGCAGGAGAATTGCATGAATACTGGAGACGGAGATTGCAGTGAGCTGAGATTGTACCACCGCATTCCAGCCTGGGTAACAGAGAGAGATTCCATCTTAAAACAAAAAAATATAGTCAGGGCTGGGCATGGTCTCTCATACCTATAATCCCAGCACTTTGGGAGGCTGAAGCAAAAGGATTGCTTGAGCCTAGGAGTTTGAGACCAGCCTGGGTAACACAGTGAGACCTCAACTCTACTAAAAATAAAAATAAAAATAAATGAAAAAGTTAGCTGGGCATGGTAGCATGCAACTGTAGTCCCAGTGACTTGGAGGCTGCACACCAGCCTGGGCAATGGAGTAAGACCATCTCAACAAACAAACAAACAAAAAAACAGTCAGGAGCTTGTTATGATCATTTTCATTTATGTTATTTGCTACTTCATTCAGTGCCTTCTACTGTGTGCTGGATGCCATCTGGAAGAGTCTAATGATCATTTATTATGTTAAATATGTGCCAGACACTTTAAGTATGTGGTGAGACATGAAAGCTATTAAAAAGTGGGGTAGGATTTCAGGTAAGCATGAAGAAGGGGAGACCTTTTCTTGGTAAAGAGGCAGAAGAATGATATGGGCAGAAGGAACATCTAACAAGTTTGTGATTTGGCAGAAGAAACATCAAACAAGATGGCATGCTTGGGAGGAGAAGCGGCAGGTGCAAAAGGTAAGAAGCTTGACTGAACTTTGCAGGGTTTATGAGCAGCCCTATTTTGCTGTTGCAGAAACTGAGATGAGAGTGGTTGGGCCTGAGGGAAAAACTTAGGTAAGGCAAGCTCATGAAGGGCTTTTTAATACTATAAAACTGAGTAGATCTTATCCTGCAGGCCATGGGAAATTTACCAGGTGGAGTGCTTTGGGCTGCAAATACCAAAGGACCTGACTAACAGTGACTAAAACAGTAGGAAGCAGAGTTGCTTTGGTGGCCGGTTCAGTGATAACACTGGGTCCCATTTGGTCTTCCTATTTCAGCTGTGTGTTTGGCAGTGTTTTGTTCATGTCTCCTTTCATGGCTGGCTAATTAGCAGTAGCTCCAAACATCATGTTCTCACAATACAAGTTCTGAAGGCTGGAAGGGCTGCTTTTCTTTCCATGTTTCTTTGAAATAGAGAGAAAAGTCAGAAGCTTGCAGTGGGCTTTCTTTCACATTTTATTGGCTTGGTTACACCATATACTCATTCCTAAACCAGGCACTGGGAAAACATATGTACTGACTGTGATTAGATTAGAATAGTCATTTCTCTTGTTGAGGATGGGGAGGGATATTAGGATGATAAATACTCAAATAGACTTGCGGTTCTCCAGCAAGAAAACAATAAGAAATGGTCATTAGGTAGGGAGACAGCAAATGTAGGAAATTCATTATAGAATTGAATGAATGTAGGAATTCATTATAGAATTGTGAGAACAAAAGTCACAAGATTAGATTTTGGAATTAGGACATTCTGATTATGGTATTCATAAACTTTTTATGTAAAGGACCAGGTGGGAAATATTTTAGGCCATGTGGTCTCTGCCATATCTACTCAACCCTGCCATTGTAGTGTAAAAGCAGTCACAAAACGTTATTTACAAAACCATTAGGCAGGCTGGGCTTGGCCTGTGGCCTATAGTGGATGACTCCTCATATGGAGGCTAGATGGAAGGTACCACGTAAAGAGACTGGAAGACAAAGGACGCTTTTGCAGTAGCCAAAGCTATAACTTCCTCGTTGCCAATCCTTGGACTAGCATCAATCCATTATGAGGTTTTCACCCATCCATGGTGAAATAAATGATGTCAGACAGCTACTTAGTAATATTAAAATGTTGGTCTTTCTCTTGATTTTTGCATTTTTCATTTGTTTTGCTTGTTTTTTAATTTAAGAAATAATATTAATAGTTGGTATCCTATAAAAGCCAGTAGTTGGTATCCTATAAAAGAACCAGTGGCAGTGGAAAAATGTAAAGCAGAGGCAGAAAAGAGATAGAGATAATATGAGTTAGTGATTACTGGATGTACAAATTTAGGGCACAAAGAGAAATCTCAGATGATTCATGGGTTTCCAGGTTGTGAACTAGCATTTAACCTGGACATGAGGAAGGAGTAGGAGATTCGCAGGTGAATGGAGAAGAACAACAGATCAGCAGGAATGTCTAACCTCTTTCTGTGCATGTTGAGTTGAATGGAATATTCATGTAGGGTATTTTCAGTAGGTAATTGAATTTTAGGCATTTCTAGCTGGAGGTAGAACTGAGGTTGGAGATGCAGACTTGGAATAATGTAGGCAAAATCATATATCTAAATGAGCTTGTCCATGGTGGGAAAGACATGGAATAAACAGAAGGCACTGACAAGACCTTGGGAATATCAACATTTCCCAGAGGAAAAGAAGTTAGTAAAGAATCCTGAACAGTGGCTAGAGAAAAGTAGGAGAGTTTATCAGAGGAAGGGATGCTGTAAAAATTTCAAAAATGTGAGAATTTCAAGGAGGGAGAATATAAATTCTTACAAGTAAGATTACTAAAAAGTAAGTTAAATTAATATTTTCAAAGCTCTTTGATGGTACCCTCTTCAAAAGAACACTTTTAGAGTTGTAAGGTCTACTATCTAGATAGATGGTACTTCTGGTGTTCAAGTATGAGAGGAAGAATACACCTATCAAAATCCTACCTAATATTTTTATAACGGCGGCAGCTACCTACACGGAGTCAGGCCTAGACTGGTGAGTTCCTGTGCCAACATTTTCCAAGAATTGTCAGAACCTAAGGGTCCACCTGAGGAAAAGTGTAGTCTTTTTTATTGTTTTTTTGTGGAAATGCTTGTTTTGTACTCAAACCCTTGGTAAGCAGTACTGGATGTATTCCCAAACAAAAATCTGACAGCAAAACTGGAAGCCACTATCAGATACTCATTTCCTTTCTCTGACATGGAATCAAAATGCAGCCATGGCTGGGTGCAGTGGCTCATGCCTGTAATCCCAGCACTTAGGGAGTCTGAAGCAGGTGGATCACAAGGTCAGGCGATCGAGACCATCCTGGCTAACATGGTGAAACCCTATTTCTACTAAAAATACAAAAAATTATCTTGGTGTGGTTGCACATGACTGTAGTCTCAGCTATTCAGGCGGCTGAGGCAGGAGACTCACTTGAACCAGGTAGGTGGAGGTTGCAGTGAGCCGAGATCGCACCACTGTACTCCAGCCTGGGCAACAGAGTGAGAATCCATCTCAAAAACAAACAAACAAACAAACAAACAAACAAAAACATGCTTTGACAAAAATTTAAGTTTGATCAGAAATAGTTTACAGATCAGCAATTTGGAGAAACTGATATCCTTAAAATATTCTCTTGCAGATCACTAATATAATATCACAGAAAAATATGACATGATATGCTGTACACAGTAGTTCTTCTGTGAAGAAGGTCATTGGTAGCTTGATGGGGGATAGTGTTGAATCCATAAATTACTTTGAGCAGTATGGCCGTTTTCATGATATTGATTCTTCCTAATCATGAGCATGGAATGTTGTTCCATCTGTTTGTGTCCTTTCTTATTTCGTTGAGCAGTGGTTTGTAGTTCTCCTTGAAGAAGTCCTTTACATTGTTAGTTGTATTCCTAGTTATTTTATTCCCTTTGTAGCAATTGTGAGTGGCAGTTCATTCTTATTTGGCTCTCTTTAAGTCTGTTATTGTTGTATAGGAATGCTTGTGATTTCTGCACATTGATTTTGTATCCTGAGACTTTGCTGAAGTTGCTTATCAGTTTCAGGAGATTTTGGGCTGAGACGATAGGGTCTTCTAAATATACAGTCATGTCATCTGCAAATAGAGAAAATTTGACTTCCTCCTTTCCTATTTGAATACCCTTTATTTTTTTTTCTTGCCTAATTGCTCTGGCTAGAACTTCCAATACTATATTGAATAGGAGTGTTGAGAGAGGGCTTTCTTGTCTAGTGCCAGATTTCAAGGGGAATGCTTCCAGTTTGTTCCCATTCAGTATGATATTGGCCATGGAATTGTAAATAGCTTTTATTATTTTGAGACACATTCCATCAATACCTAGTTTATTGAGAGTTTTTAGCATAAATGCTGTTGAATTTTGTCAAAGGCCTTGTCTGCATCTATTGAGATAATCATGTGGTTTTTGTCTTTGGCTCTGTTTATGTGGTGAATTATGTCTATAGACTTGTGTATGTTGAACCAGCCTTGCATCCCTTGGATGAAGCCTACTTGATTGTGATGGATAAGCTTTTTGGTATGCTGTTGCAATCAGTTTTCCAGTATTTCATTGAAGATTTTTGCATGTATGTTAATCATGGATATTGGCCTGAAGTTTTCTTTTCTTGTTGAGTCTCTGCCGGGTTTGGTATCAGGATGATGTTGGTCTCATAAAATGATTTGGGAAGGATTCCCTCTTTGTAGATTATTTGTAATAGTTTCAGAAGGAGTGGTACCAGCTCCTCTGTATATCTGGGAGAATTCAGCTGTGAACTCATCTGGGCCTGGGCTTTTTTAGTGGGTAGGCTATTAATTTCTGCTTCAACTTCAGCCCTTGTAATTGGTTTATTCAGGGTTTCCACCTCTTCCTGGTTTAGGCTTGGAAGGGGGTAAGTGTTCAGGAATATATTCATTTCTTTCAGGTTTATTGGTTTATGTACATAGAGTTGTTTGTAGTAATCTCTGATGGTGGTTTGTATTTCTGTGGGATCTGTGGTGATATCCCCTTTATCATTTTTTATTGCATCTATTTGATTCTTCTCCTTTTTCTTTTTTATTAATCTGGGTAGTGGTCTGTCTATTTTGTTGATCTTTTCAAAAAACCAGCTCCTGGATTTATTGATTTTTTGAAGGGTTTTTTGTGTCTGTATCTCTTTTAGTTCTGCTCTGATCTTAGTTTTTTCTTGTCTTGTGCTATTTTTTTTGTGTTTTTTTTTGATCTTGCTCCTCTAGCTCTTTCAATTTTGATGATAGGGTGTCGATTTTAGATCATTCCTTTCTTCTCATGTGGGCATTTATTGCTATATATTTTCCTCTAGACACTGCTTTAAATGTGTCCCAGAGATTCTGGTTTGCTGTGTCTTCATTCTCATTGGTTTAGAAGAAGATCTTTATTTATGTCTTCATTTCATTGTTTATCCAGGCAACATTCAAGAGCCAGTTGTTCAGGTTCCATGAAGCTGTGTGGTTCTGAGTTAGTTTCTGAATTCTGAGTTTTAACTTGATTGCACTGTGTGTGGTCTGAGAGACTGTTTGTTATGATTTCCTTTTGCATTTTGCATTTGCTGAGGAGTGAGTTACTTCGAATTATGTGGTCAATTTTGGAGTAGCTGTGATGTGGTACTGAGAAGAATGTATATTCTGTGGATTTTGGGTTGAGAGTTCTATAAAGGTCTATTAGGTTTGCTTGTTCCAGGTCTGAGTTCAAGTCCTGGATATCCTTTTTAATTTTCTGTCTTGTTGATCTGTCTAATATTGACAGTGGAGTGTTAAAGTCTCCCACTGTTACTGTGTGGGAGAGTCTCTTTGTGAATCATTAAGAGCTTGCTTTATGTATCTGGGTGCTCCTGTATTGGGTGCGTATATATTAATGATTGTTAGTTCTTCTTGTTGCATCGATCCTTTTACCATTATGTAATGTCCTTCTTTGTCTCTTTTGATCTTTGTTGGTTTAAGGTCTATTTTATCAGAGACTAGGATTGTAAGTCCTGCTTTCTGTTCCTCTCCATTTGCTTGGTAAATCTTCCTCCATCCCTTTATTTTGAGTCTATGTGTATCCTTGCATGTGAGATGGGTTTCCTGGATACAGCGCACCAATGGGTTTTGGCTTTTTATCCAGTTTACCAGTCTGTGTCCTTTGATTGGGGCATTTAGCTCATTTACATGTAGGGTTAATATTGTTATGTGTGAATTTAATCCTGCCCTTTTGATGCTAGCTGGCTGTTTTGCCTGTTAGTTGATGCAGTTTCTTCATTGCATCATTGCTCTTTACCATTTGGTATGTTTTTGGAGTGGCTGGTACTGGTTGTTCCTTTCCATGTTTAGTGCTTCTTTCAGGAACTCTTATAAAGCAGGCCTGGTGGTGATGAAATCTCTGAGCAATTGCTTGTTTGTAAAGGATTTTATTTCTCCTTTGCTTACGAAGCTTAGTTTGGCTGGATATGAAATTCTAGGTTGAAAGTTCTTTAAGGATGTTGAATATTGGCCCCCACTCTCTTCTGGTTTGTGGGGTTTCTGCTGAGAGATCTGCTGTGAGTCTGACTGACTTCCCTTTGTGGGTAACCCGACCTTTCTCTCTAGCTGCCCTTAGCATTTTTTCCTTCATTTCAACCCTGGTGAATCTGACAATTATGTGCCTTGGGGTTGCTCTTCTTGAAGAATGTCTTTGTGGAGTTCTCTGTATGTTGAATTTGAATGTTGGCTTGCTGCTAGGCTTGGGAAGTTCTCCTGGATAATATCCTGGAGCATGTTTTCCAGCTTGGATTCGTTCTTTTCATCATATTCAGATATACCGCTCAACTGTAGATTAGGTCTTTTCACATAATCCTGTATTTCTTGGAGGCTTTGTTCCCTTCTTTTCGCTCTTTTTTCTCTTATCTTGCCTCATCTTTTTATTTCATTGACTTGATCTTCAACCTCTGATATCCTTTCTTCTGCTTGATCAATTTGGCTATTAAAACTTGTTTTTGCTTCACTTAGTTCTCGTGCTGTGTTTTTCAGCTCCACCAAGTCATTTATGTTCTTCTCTAAGCTGGTTATTCTAGTTAGCATTTCGTCCAACCTTTTTCCAAGGTTTTTGGCTTCTTTGCATTGAGTTAGAACATGTTCCTTTAGCTCAGAAAAGTTTGTTATTATCCACCTTCTGAAGCCTGTTTCTGTCAATTCATCACATTCTTTTGTGGTCATGTTGTGATCCTGTGTTGTTGAGGAGTTGTGATCCCTTGAAGGAGAAGAGGTGTTCTGGTCTTTGATGATTTCATCTTTTTTGTGCTGTTTTTTTCCCATCTTACCTGGTTGTGGTGTCAGGGAGCTGCTTGATGAGGTCACTTGTCTGCCTGTCGAGGCACTGCTGGCTTTCTAGGGACTCCTTCAGATTACTAGGGAAGCTTCTTGTGTCTTTTTTGTTTATACTGGGAGATTAGGCCTGCCTCTTCCACTGACCTGTATTTGCTGTTGGTTGGTGAAGAACGCTGTCCCGTTGTTATGTAGACTTCCTATGTTTTGTGTTAAAACATGTAGCTCAGTCCCACCCCTCTAATGGTGGGTTGTGTCCTTCCTCCACTGGGTTGGATCATTCAGGGTTCAGCTCAGACTGTGGCATTGGTTGTGCAACTTACTAGAGTCAGCTTCAGCCCTCTGGAGTTTGTGGGGGAAGGTAGGGACCCTCCCAGACACACTCGGCCATCTCTCCCTTTCAGCTTACTCTCTCTCAGGTCATGGGGTAGGGCCCTCACCATGCTGCTTCATCTGTCCTCCCACTTACAGCTCCCTCTCTCTCCAGGTGGGTGGAGGGGGCAATCACTCGATCCAAAGGCTCACCAGCTTTTGTACTTATGCGTCAGTTTAGGTCTGGGCACCAATCTGGGACACTGTCCTGGATTATTATTGAACTCCGTGCTTGTAATTTCTGGTGCTTGACTGGCAAAGATCCCCTGTTCTGTGTATTACTGAGGCTTTGGGGGAAGCACTGTATCTGGACCGGAGTGCCAGAGCGGGAGCATCTGACTTGCTGGTCAGATGCACTTTCTGGGTGAAGCAGCACCCCTCCTTGCCTTACTCTGCCTTGCCTGGGCTTTGCTCACTGTAGGACCAGACCCCTTGAAATGCCCCTGGTACCTCAGTTGGAGCTAGGAGATCTCTGGGTTTCTGCTTCTCTCTTGCTGGGTGTTGTGTGCCAGAGTTGTGTCTATTCGGCCATCTTGGAGAGTCTCTGGGGTCTTATTGTTTTTAATTCATTCATCCAACTTATGTCTTTTGATTGGAGATTTTAGTTATTTATATTCAATGTTTGTATTGATAAGTGAGGACTTACGCCTGTTATTTTGTAATTTATTTTCTGAATATTCTGTGGTCTTCTTTTCCTTCTTGTCTTCCTTTTAAGTAAAGGTGATTTTCCCTGTTGGTATGTTTTAATTTTCTGCTTGTGTGTGTGTGTGTGTGTGTGTGTGTGTGTGTATCCATTTCATCATTTCATGTTTTTAGATTTGAGGTTACTATGAGGATTTCAAGTCTACTTAAGATATGGTAGTTTACACACCACAATTATAGTATTGTAATATTCTATGTTTGTCTGTGTACTTACTATTAGTAGTGAGTTTTATAAGATTCATTGATTTCAGGTGGTTTCTTATTGCTCATTAACATTCTTTTGTTTCATATTGAAGAACTCTCTTTAGCCTATCTTGTGGGACAGGTGCGGTATTGATCAAATTTCTCAGCCTTTGTTTGTTTGGGAAAATCTTTATTTCTGCTTCATATGTAAAAGGAATTTGTGCTGGGTATACTATTCTAGGTTAAAAGTGTTTAAATATGTCATGCCACTCTCTCCTAACCTGTAAGGTTTCCACCAGAAAGTCTACTTCCAGATGTATTGCAGTTCCATTGTATGTTATTTGTTTCTCTTTGCTTGCTGCAGGGATGAATGACCTTTTCTTTATTTTTGATCTTTGTAAGTTTAATTATTAAGTTCCTTGAAGTACCTTGTTTTCTATAACCTTCTTGCACTTGAATATTGATATCTTTCTTGAGGTTTGGGAAGTTCGCTGTTATTTCTTTGAATAAACTTTCTGCTCCCATCTATCTCACTTCCTCCTCTCTAAGGCCATTAACTCTTGGGTTTTCTTTAGTAGGTTATTTTTTATATCTTGTAGGCATGCTTCGTTCTTTTCTATACATTTTTCTTTTGTATACTCTGACTGTGTTTTCTCAAATAGCCTCTCTTCAAGCTCACTGATTATTTCTTCTGCTTGATCAGTTCCACTATTAAGGGACTCTTAGGCATCTTTCAGTATGTAAATTGCATTTTTCAACTTCAGAATTTCTTCTTGATTCTTTTTTAATTATTTCAATTCCTTTGGTAAATTTATCTGCTAGGGTCCTGGAATTTTTTTTTCTCTGTGTTATCCTGAATATTTTTGAGTTTCCTCAACACAGCTGTTTTGAATTATCTGTCTAAAAGGTCATATATTTCTGTCTCTCTAAAATTGGCCCCTGGTGCCTTATTTAGTTCACTTGGTGAGGTCATATTTTCCTGGATGATCTTTATGTTTGTGGATTATTGTCTGTGTCTGGGCATTGAAGAGTATTTTTGTAATCTTGACAGTGTGGACTTGTTTGTACTCATCCTTCCCGGGGAAGGCTTTCCAGGTATTCAAAGAGATTTGGGTATAGTGTCTGTGCTTTTAGTCACTGTGCCCATATCTACATTAGGGGGCAGGGACTCTAAACCCAGTAATTCTGTCATGTTTGCAGCCTCATAGAGACATGCTTTTGTTGGTTGTTCAATAAGAGCTAGAAGAATTCTCTGAATTTTCAGACATTAACTCTTGTTCTCTTCCCTTACTATCTCCAAAATGAATGGAGTCTGTCTCTGTGCTACCTGGGGCTGAGGGAGGATTTAAACAAGCACCTTTGTGTCCACCGCCACTGGGATTTCACTGCATCAGACTTGAAGCCAGCACACCACTGGACCTTGCCCAAGGCATATGTAACTATGACCTGACTAATGCCTTTGTTTGCCTGTAGGGCTTAGGACTATACAATCAGCTGGTGGTGATGTCAGCCAGTCTTATGTCCTTCCATTGGGGGAACTGAGAGTTTCCTCAGGCCCCAGGTGAGCCCACATATACTGTCCAGGAGCCAGGGCCTGAACCTGAGAAATCTATCTGGTGCTGCCCCTAAACTGGCTCTGAAACCACAAGACAAAGGCCTTTCCAATCTTCCCTCTCATTTCCCCAGGCAGAAGAATCTCTTCCCATGTCCACCATTACCACAGACCTAGGAGGAATCCTGCCAGGTTACCACCAATGTTCACTTAAGGCCCAGGGGCTCACGTTTTAAACATTTGTTTTGTTTGTAATGGTTTTGTTTATGTTTGGTGGATAAATTTGCGAGTGAATGTTTGGCATTTGTGTTTGTCTTCAACCTGGTGACATCTAGTATCTCCCCTGGTGGTTTCTTGAAGTTTTAAGAATTAGGAGTATTTATTAAAGCAGTAAATATCCTGCTGAAGATTAAGTTTTCTTTAAATTCACAATTTATATAAAAGATTAGTTTTAACCTATTTTTATAAAGATTATAGTTTAACTGGTCTAAGTAGTTAATTTTAACTGAATGTATATTTTTTTTCAGCAGAACAAGTCTTGGCAATGATATCAGAGGAAGAGCAAGAAAGGCTTGAAGAAAGTGAAAACAACCAGCTACAAGTATACAACAATTTAATTTTAATTTCTGGTTGACAATTATGTTCTTTGCTTTAATAATGTAGGGTAGTCCAAATGAAATTACCTTTTAGATTAACCTTTGAGAATGAATAGATCCTAATTTACTATTTAATATTGAATTTTAAATATATTTTAACTAGTTTTAAAACTCAAAATATTTTTAAAATCTGTCGTAACTTATGGCTCATTTTTACCCTTGGAATAGAGAGAAAAATTTTCAGAATTTTGTTTACTCTTTCATCTTTATAACATGTTTGTGTAATGAAGAAAGTAGCCTGAATTATTGAATCTTATTATTGAGCAATGGAAGTTATGAACAATTTAAGAGTGATGGCCACTGAGCTGGATTGGTGTTACAGGAGTCATGATGGCCGGTGGTTCAAGATTTGCAGTTTTATATTGCTAGTCACTAATGCCAAGGTTAAAGATTTATTCTGTCTTATGGTCTCTCATTGACTTCAGGTCATGTTTAGGAAGAGAACTGGGTCATAAAATCAGCATAATTGTTTATTAAAAGAATCGTACTCTGCAGATTGAGACCTTTGGTGTTTGGATATGAACAATAACTTTCTAACATATTTCAATGCAGGAAATCAGTAAATAGTACACAATCTTTCCTCTGCCATCATTGGTGGATATTAGAATATATTAGAGGTGAACATAAGCAGATAAACTAGATACATAAGAGTGTCAGCTGGGTGCAGTGGCTCACACCTGCAATCCCAGCACTTTGGGAGGCCAAAGCAGGAAAATCACAAGGTCAAAAGATCAAGACCATCCTGGCTAACACATTGAAACCCCGTCTCTATTAAAATTGTAAAAAAAAAATTAGCCGAGTGTGGTGGCACATGCTTGTAGTCCCAGCTACTTTAGAGGCTGAGGCAGGGGTCTGAGAGGTGGAGGTTGCAGTGAGGCAAGATTGCTCCACTGCACTCCAGCCTGGGTGACAGAGAGAGACTCTGTCTCAAAAAAAAAAAAGTGTTTTAGTATATAACTTGAATTAAAATTTGATGATTTGCTTTTCTTTCTGATTGGTATTGATTTTGGCTTCTATCAAAGTCTGCCTACAGTCCAGTTAGCAATCTTTAGAAAAAGTACTCAGATACACTGTGCAGGCTTACTAGTTAGGGTATGCTGAGGTAAAATCTTTTCAAGTGAGGACACTTTGTAACAGTACTAATCATCTGATACTTCATTTTTTGGTAGATTTAACACAACCTGAATTTAGTCCAAACCACACTGCCAAAGTTAAGTTTGCTGGTTTATTTTTTTCTTGCAATTGTAGCTAAGGCAAATTATTTTTCACTTCTTCCTGTGATTTGGGAGTAGCTAAACCTATATTAAGAAGTTTAACAGGTAAATTTTAACTAGTTTAAATATTTTTTTTTATATTTTATTGGGAATAAAGTTATTTTAATAAATGCTCTGTGCTGGGCATAGTGGCTCATGCCTGTAATCCCAGTACTTTGGGAGGCTGAGGTGGGAGAATTGCTTCAGCCCAGGAGTTCAAGACCAGCTTGGGCAACATGGCGATGCCCCATCTCTACAAAATGTTAAAAAAATTTAGCCAAGCATGGTGGCATGTGCCTGTGTTTTTAGCTACGTGGGAGGCTGAGATGGGAAGATCACTTGAGCCTAAGAGGTTGAGGCTGCAGTAAGCCATGCTTGCACCACTGCACTCCAACCTGGACAACAGAGGGAGACCTTGTCTCAAAAAATAAATATAAAAACATGTATCTTGACAAAGATAACTTCTGAGAAACAAAACAAGCAAATTAATTTTCCCTTTTGCATCTCCCAAAAATATCTCAAGAACAAGAAATAAAAAAGGATGAGATAGAGAAGATATGTCTGTATATTAAGGACTCTTTTTTCTTTACTATTTCATATATCACTTGGTATATGAACAAAGAACATTCAAAATTTGGTCTCTGAACTGGCTATACATTTTCTCCTTACCTTTCAGTAGAAATAATAAACTAACCTCCCCATTAATATAAAAATAAGATTAAATCTTATTTTAAATCTGAGGAAATGTGTATTAAATGAGGCAAATTAGAGTGGGAAAATAAAACTTCTCACAAATAAGTTAAATCAGAGGTTTGGTGAAACCTGTGAAATTATGAAATTGCTGATTTTATTTAGGAAGGGCCAGTCCATGATAGCTCAAAAGGAGGAATGAACATAAAGGAAATTCCTTCTAAATTGACAGGTAATAACTTGTGAGAAAAAAGATGCATCTGGGGTGCCTGTCTTCATGGTATCTCAGGCCTTTTGTTGAACACATAGAACCAGTCTCAAAAATGTGTTTCTATCTTATTCATATTCTGAGTGTTTGGTACATGTTTGCCACGCAGCTTCTAAGCTTTATTTAAATGAAAATAAATAAGACTGTGAAAATAACAAACCAGACGGTGACCATGTTTTTAACATAGATGAGGAGAAGTTTTATGACACTCTAAGAAAGTAAGTTGTTACAATAAAACTAAAAGAAGGTCAAGAGCTTGATATGCAAATGACAAAAAATATGACCAAGACCAAGGTACCATAAGGCACCAAATTAGACATCAGGCATATGCCTCTGTCTAGTGAGCCAAAAGGTCAAAACCCTTGCTACTAACAAAACGTGTTCTAGTTATTGGAAGTGATTTAATCTTATTTTTGTATTAATGGAGAGGTTAATTTATTATTTCTACTGATAGGTAAGGAGCAAATGTATAGCCAGTTCAGAGACTGTATTTTCAAGGTTCTTTGTTTTACTTTTGACGAGAGTAACAGTCTGCTCCAAGTAGTGTCTAATTTCAGTGCAAAGAGCTTTGAACACAATGGTATGCCACAACATATGCTTAGGGATAATTTATTAATATGTATTTTATTCCTAGTAAAATAGTTCAGTATATTTTCCATTTCACATTTATTACTCTTTCAAACATTATAAAGAGGATATAGAAGTTACTGCAATGGCAAATGATTTTATGGCTTTCTAAGAAAAGCTCTATAATTTTATCTTATTTACTATTGGTGTTTTGAAATAAGGAAAAAAAGCTTCTCTTTGTATTTATTTACACTAATGAAATAAATGTGATTTGGTGGAGGAGCATTAGAAGTAGAGTCAGAAAACCTGGGGAATATCCTGCAGCTTGCTTATTTTTTGATAACTTCTTTGCAGAATTGTGACAGAGTTCAGCGATGTATATAGAAGTGCTTAGTAAGATGCTTATATTTAGCATCTATGCATGAATGCCGTTCTTAGGACTGACCATAAAAAAGATACAAAAATAGAATATCTGTAGAATATACTCAGGAAAAAGAAACTTAAAGGACTTTGGGAAATTTCATCTGTCCAAATATATGCAGAGCTAAAGCTCTTAGTATATGGTGGAATATAGCTTAGATATCAAAGTATAAACCTGATATTTAATGTAGTAAATTTTTAAAATCTTTTATGTCTTTGGGTTTGTTGTTGTTCTGAGAAAGGTTTTTCCAATTCTGGGAACCTTACAAATCCTCTAGTGCTTTCTCTTTTACTTGTATGGACTCATCGTCTTCAAATAAATCTTTGATCTTTGGAGAATTTATGCTGTATGAGGTTTAAAGTTCTAATTCAGCTTTTTTCCCAGTTAGATATTTATTTGTGGCAATGCTTTCATTTTATAAATGTATATGATATTTTTAATTTCAGAGAAAATAATGAGATGTCATTGTATAGAATGCTAGCTAGAAGTTTTTTTTTGTTTATTTAGATTTCTCATTGGCATAAGAAAGAAAAAGATCTGCTGCATGAAAACCACATGTTGCAGGAAGAAATTGACAGACTAAGACTGGAAATAGACACAAAGGAAATTAGGAACCAGCAAAAAGAAAATAAATATCTTGAGGACATTGAAATTGTGAAAGCAAAGAATGATTTCCTTCAAAATGCTTTGAAACAGAAAGAGGAAACATTAACAACAACGATATCTCAGTACAGTGTACAGCTTGAAGTTTTGACAGCTGAGAATGAAAGGCTCCGTTCTGAATTGGAGGCTAAAAATCAAAACCAGGAAGCATTGGAAACAGAAATTGAATCATATCATTGTAGACTGGCCGCTGCTATACAAGATTGTGATCAACATCAGGCATCAAAAAGAGATGCAGAACTCAGTTTCGAGAGAGCAAGAGAAGAGTGGCTTCATTTAAAGGAAAAATTGAATTTTGATACGAGTAACCTAAATGATAAGAACGAGATGCTTTCTAAAAAACTCTCTAATGCTGAAAATGAAATCAGAAGCCTCAAAATGAAGCACCGCCACATAAAAGATGCCCTAAGAGAAAAGACATTGGTTTTAGAAGGTATCCAAAATGAAGAAGGCAAAGTGAATAGACACATTCAAAAGCAAGACCCTCTAGAGGAGAGATTATCTCAAATACAGAATGAAAATTTGTTACTTCAACAGCAACTGGATGAGGCTCACAAGAAAGCTGACAATCAAGAAAAGATAATTAATATCCAAGAGCAACTTATTGCTACTGTCAAAAATCAAGCTGAGAGTAAAAAGCAACATCTTCTACTAGAGCAGAAAAACAACATGTTAGTCAATAAAGTCAATTACTTAGAAGAAAGATTGTATGAATATGAAAAAAAGAAAGCAGAAAGAAACGTAAGTATTGTGAAAGAAAATATTTTTCAAGCTTTTTGAAAGAAAATGTAAAGTAATATTTGGTTTGGGCTAAATAATAAGTCTCATTGAATATAAAGATATCGTAAATATATTTGCTATCTCAGCCTGGAAGCATGCTGGCAAAAAAGGTTATACTAGAAAGATGCTTTACTTGGAGTAAAGAAATTGTGTCACCTGTGAAACATTAAAAGGTTAAGTTACAGATTATTAATAGATATAGACTAATATAAATAATGTAATCTTACACTACTTAAATAATACTTTATTTTTTTTTTGGAGACAGAGTCTTACTCTGTTGCCCAGGCAGGAGTGCTGTGGCATGATCTTGGCTCACTGCAACATCCGCCTCCTGGGTTCAAGCAGTTCTCCTGCCTCAGCCTCCCGAGTAGCTGTGATTACAGGCATGTTCCACCATACCTGGCTAATTTTTGTATTTTTAGTAGAGATAGGGTTTTGCCATGTTGGCCAGGCTGGTCTAGAACTTCTGAGCTCAGCTGATCCCCCTACCTTGGCCTCCCAAAGTGCTGAAATTACAGGTGTAAGCCTCCAAAGCTGGCCTGAAATATTTTTAATGTCTTTATGTGGCCACATTTTAAAACCATGATGAAATATATAAATGGAAATACTCATACCTGAAATGAATATTTTGAAATTAACATTCAGTTTGGTGGGTGATTTCGACAGTTAGGTCCAGATTTCCCAGGTGAACTGAAGTGTACTGCTGTATCTCATAAGGCTTTCCCTCAGGAGCTTCTTATATATTGATGTTGGTGTAGCTTTATTTTTATTCATGTTAGTTTGACTTAAATCTGAAACTATCACAATCTCAAATTTTTGTCATGAGCTCCCAACTCTTTGAAGGGATTCACTTTTAATTCAATATAATTTGGGACAGATGTGAGTGTCAGTAAAACCATATTTGATTTAATCTTACCACTGGCATTCATGATTTATTTTGAATGTTTTTGCAAGTAATTTTTGCATAATTTTTATTTAAAAGCTCTATGACTATTTTGATTTGGACATAACTTTGTCGAGTACAAAGATAATTGTGGCAATCTGTGATTTTTTTTGTTTGTCATGGGGTGCCCACGTTCAAACTAATGAGGGGTGACAGGATTCACATATAGTGGGAATGGAGTGAGTAGGGGAGAGAGTGTAGGAGCTGAGAGCATGGAGGTGGAGGCAAGGTTATCAAGGGCCTCAAAGGCCATTGGAATTTTAGTTTTATTTGGAGATAGGAATCTGTTGGAAAGATTTGAGCAGGCAATTGAATAAAAGAGGAATTGTGAAGTTGATTTGAACTTCTAATAAATAAAAGAGAAAAGATTTCAGAGTATAGAATTTACCACCACTGGTCTCACTCACTCACTCACCCATTACTTTTTGAGACTTCAGTAGATGCATTGCAAACTTAGGGAGTGAATGAATAGTGGGCTGTATCTGTTGTTTAGGTCACAGAATACTGGTTTGGCAGGAAAATAACATCTTTTCTGTCCTTAACTGAATTCAGTAATGAACATTCCTGTTCATTACACATGAGGAAAAGAAGGTGAATTAGTGTATGTGGTAATATTTTTCAAAGTATTTGTATTAGAGTTAAATCTTATGACCATCATTTAATAATAAGGTGACATAAAGTTAATAACAAAAATATCTTTACAGGAAACTGTGAGACAACTTCAACAAGAACTGGATGGTATTGTATAAAAACAACCTATGTCAGAGCCCTCACTAGGGCTACACTATGTTATGATGTTAATTAAGATGAAACAGGACTTAAAGAGGAAATCAGGTCAAATCAGAAGTCTCGTATGTATAAAATGTAGCATGTCAACATTTAATCTATAGCTAGTTAAATAATATCAAGTGGTTTAGGATACTAATTTCAGTGAGCAGCTTTCTTTTGTATTTTCATTATAATTAATTTTATTATCTTTATAATGTATTTGATTCTTAACCTCTGGACTTTTATTCTGTCACTTTTTCCTCTTAAGTATGTACATATTTTTCTTATAATATTTACCTTGAGGAAAAGTTGGGAATTAGACATCATTTCTCACGAAAGTTGAGAGACTTTTTTTTGGTGAGACAGTATTTTTAAGTAATTTTTTCTCTATTATCATGGTGAGAGAAGTCAGATTAAATCAGAGGACAATATGAAGTTCAGAAAATTGTGAATGGGTACAGAATCTCTGTATATTTCTTGCATGTATTTCAGGATAACTTGTACAGGAAAGGCTATTACAGTTGTCTTGAAAATGCAAGTGTTTTAGATTAGTTTACAAAATACTTGAAATGTTAGGCATTTCCTTCCTATTTCTTTTAAACATATTGTCAAGCAGAAATATTCAGATTATGTGTAGTATATAATCCAAAGTAGAGAAGTAAGAAATTTATAAAGATACTGCCATTTGATTTTTAAAACAACTTTATTAAGATATAATTCACCTAGTATATAGTTCACCCATGTGAAGTTTCTTAGTATATTCTTAGTATATTCACAGAGTTGTGTAGCCATCGCCACCATCAATTTTAGAACGTTTTTATGACCCTGAAAAGAAACCGCATCCCTAAGCCATCATCGACCAGTTTCCCCCTTTTTACTCAGCTCTAGGGAACCACCAGTCTCCTTTGTTTGTATAGATTTGTCCACTCTGGAATTACACAATATGTGGTCTTTTGCAACTATTTGTTTCAGTTAGCATAAAATTTTTAAGGGTTTTCTGTGTGGTAGCAGGTATCAGTACTTAATTTCTTCTTATTGCTGAGTAATACTTCATTGTATAAATACACCAGTCATTTTATTTATTCATTCATGAATTGATAGACCATTGGGTTGTTTCCAGTTTGGGCTGTTATTAACAAAGCTGCTGTGCACTTTGATATAAAAGTGCTTGTGTTTGCATATGTTTTCATTTCTGTTGGAGTTATACTTATGAGTGGAAATGTTGGGCCATGTGTTAACCCTTTGAGAAGCTGCCAGTCTGTTTTCCAAAGTGGCTGCACCATTTCACATTCTTATCAGCATTGTGAGGGGGTTCTAATTTCCCCACATCCTTGCCAAAATTTCACATATTTTTGATTGAGAAAAGATTTTATTCTAGTAGTGCAATGTGGTACTTTACTGTGGTTTTAATTTGCATTTTTTGATGACTAATGATTTTAAGCATCTTTTTATGTGCTTATAAACCATTTGTATATCTTCTTTGGAGAAATATCTATTCAAATCCTTCGCCCATTTTTAAATTGTCCTTTTATTTCTAAATTTTAAGAGTTAGTATTATATCCTAGCTGTAAGTCCCTTATCAGATATATGATTTTTTCAAATATTTACTTCTATTAAATGGCCTTCATCTTTAATTTCCTGATGGCGTCTGTTCAAGTTCCAAATTTTGATCAAGTCCAGTTAATCTATTTTTCCTTTTGGTGTTACGTCTAGGAAGCCACTGGCAAATGCGGTCACAAAGATTTATGCCTATGTCTTCATCTAAGAATTTTATAGTTTTAGCTCTTACATTTAGCTATTTTATTTTGAATAAATGTTTAGATATGGCATTTGGTGAGACAATACCATTTGTTGAAAATGTTATTCTTTTCTCATTTGTTTTTAAACTATTGTTGAAAATCAATTGAACACAAATGTACAGATTTAATTTTGAATTCTCAATTTTAATAAGTTGGTCTCTGTCTATTCTTGTTCACTAACATGTCTTGTTCAATTTGTATGATACAGAGCAACATTTTGTTACATATTAAAATGAAATGGTCTTACCTTCTTCATACAGACAGGTTCAAAGTAAGGTAAAGTGGAAATTGTACTTAATTTCTTAACATTCAGAGGACATATTTGTTTCATTACTGAGAAGATTATAGTTTCATAATCGTCTCTTTATTTCCTCATTGAGGAAATGAACATAAACATTGAATACGAAATTGATTAATAAATACTCAAAGCTGCTTATCTCTTAGGATTTCAGTGAATTGAAATCAGATCAAATATCTGATTTTGGTTGGAAAATCAAATATTTCTAGTTTTTTTTTCATCTTTAAAATTAACTTAAACTTTAAGTTCTGGAGTACATGTGCAGCACATGCAGGTTTGTTACATAGATATACATGTGCCATGGTGGTTTGCTGCACCCATCAACCTGTTATCTACCTTAGATATTTGTCCTAATGCTATTCCTCCTATAGTCCCCACCTCCTGAAAGGCCCTGGTAGGTGATGTTCCCCTCACTGTGTCCATCTGTTCTCATTGTTCAACTCCCACTTTTGAGTGAGAGCATGCAGTGTTCTTGTGTTAGTTTGCTGAGAATGATGGTTTCCAGTTTCATCTATGTCCCTGCAAAGGACAAGAACTCACACTTTTTTACAGCTGCGTAGTATGCCATGGTGTATATGTGCCACATTTTGTTTTTATCCAGTCTATCACTGATGGACATTTGGGTTGGTTCCAAGTATCTGCTATTGTGAACAGTGCCGCAATAAACATACGTGTGCATGTCTTTATAGTAGAATGATTTATAATCCTTTTGATATATACCCAGTAATGGGATTGCTGGGTCAAATGGTATTTCTAGTTCTAGATCCCTGAGGAATCACCACACTGTCTTCCACAATGGTTGAACTAATTTGCACTCCCACCAATAGTGTAAAAGTGTTCATTTCTCCACATTCTCTCCAGCATCTGTTGTTTCCTGACTTTTTAATAATTGCCATTCTAACTGGTATGAGATGGTACCTCATTGTGGTTTTGATTTGCATTTCTCTAATGACCAGTGATGATGAGTTTTTTTTTCCATATGTTTCTTGGCTGCATAAATGTCTTCTTTTGAGAAATGTCTGTTCATATCCTTTGCCCATTTTTTTTTAGATTTGTTTAAGTTCTCTGTAGATCCTGCATATTAGCCCTTTGTCAGATGGAAAGATTACAAAAGTTTTCTTCCATTCTTTAGGTTGCCTGTTCACTCTGATGACAGTTTCTTTTGCTGTGCAGAAGCTCTTTTGTTTAATTAGGTCCCATTTGTTAATTTTGGCTTTTGTTGCCATTGCTTTTGGTGTTTTAGTCATGAAGTCTTTGCTCATGCCTATGTCCTGAATGGTATTGCCTAGGTTTTCTTCTGGGGTTTTTGTGGTTTTAGGTCTTACGTTTAAGTCTTTAATCCATCTGGAGTTATTTTTTGTATCAGGTGTAAGGAAGGGATCCAGTTTCAGTGTTCCACATATGGCTAGCCAGTTTTCCCAACACCATTTATTAAATAGGGAATTTTTTCCACATTGCTAGTTTTTGTCAAGTTGGTTAAAAATCAGATGGTGGCATTATTTTTGAGGCCTCTGTTCTGTTTCATTGCTATATATATCTGTTTTGGTACCAGTACCATGCTGTTTTGGTTAGTATAGTTTGAAGTCAGGTAGTGTGATGCCTCAAGCTTTGTTCTTTTTGCTTAGGATTGTCTTGGCTGTGCAGGCCCTTTTTGGTTGCATATGAAATTTAAAGTAGTTTTCTCCAATTCTGTGAAGAAAGTCAATGGGAGCTTGATGCTGATAGCATTGAATCTATAAATTACTTTCAGTAGTATGGTCATTTTCTTTCTCTCTTTTTTTTTGAATTGTACTTTAGGTTCTGGGGTACATGTGCAGATCATGCAGGATTGTTGCATAGGTACACACATGGCAATGCGGTTTGTTGCCTACATTTCCCCATCACCTACATCTGGCATTTCACCCCATGTTGTTCCTCCCTGACATCCCTATCCTCCTACTGACCCTACCTTGGCCCCCCAAATGGACCCCAGTGTGTGATGCTCTCCTCCCTGTGTCCATGTGTTCTCATTGTTCAACACCTGCCTATGAGTGAGAACATGCAGTGTTTGATTTTCTGTTTTTGTGTTTGTTTGCTGAGAATTATGGTTTCCAGATTCATCCATGTCCTTACAAAGGGCAACAACTCATTTTTTATGGCTGCATAGTATTCCATGGTGTATGTGTGCCACATTTTCCTTGTCCAGTCTATCATTGATGGGCATTTGGGTTGGTTCCAGGTCTTTGCTATTGTAAACAGTGCCGCTGTGAACATACATGTTCATGTGTCTTTATAACAGAATGATTTATAATCCTTTGGATATATATCCAGTAATGGGATTGCTGGGTCAAATAGAATTTCTATTTCTAGGTCCTTGAGGAATCAACACTGTCTTCCACAATGGTTGAACTCATTTACACTGCCACCAACAGTGTAAAAGTGTTCTTATTTCTCCACATCCTCTCCAGCATCTGTTGTCTCCAGATTTTTTAATGATCTCCAGTATGGCCATTTTCAAGATACTGATTCTTTGTATCCATGAGCATGGAATGTTTTTCCATTTGTTTCTGTCTTCTCTTATTTCCTTGAGTAGTAATTTTTAGTTCTTTTTGAAGAGGTCTTCCACTTCCTTTGTAAGTTATATTCCTAGGTATTTTATTGACTTTGTAGCAATTATGAATGGGCATTCACTCATGATTTGGCTCTGTCTGTCTATTATTGATGTATAGGAATGCTTGTGATTTTTGCACATTGATTTTGTATCCTGAGACTTTGTGAAGTTGTTTACAGCTTAAGGAGATTTTGGGCTGAGACTATGGGGTTTTCTAGATATACAGTCATGTTATCTGTGAACAGAGACAATTTTTCCTGATCAAATACCCTTCCTTTCTTTCTTTTGCCTGATTGCCCTGGCCAGAACTTCCAATACTATGTTGAATAAGAATGGTGAGAGAGGGCATTTTTGTCTCATGCCAGTGTTCAAAGGGAATGCTTCCAGTTTTTGCCCATTCAGTATGATATTGGCTATGGGTTTGTCATAAATAGCTCTTATTATTTTGAGATACATTCGGTCAATACATAGTTTATTGACAGTTTGTAGCACGAAGGGCTGTTGAATTTGTTGAAGTCCTCTCCTGCATCTACTGAGATAATCGTGTTTTTTGTCATTGGTTTTGTTTATGTGATGATTTATGTTTATTGATATTCATATGTTGAAGCAGCCTAGCATCCCAGGGATGATGCCAGCTTGATTTTAGTTTTTTCATCTTTTATACTTTGTGAACTCACAAGATTTGAGACAGGTATTAGTTAATTTAAAAAGTTTATTTTGCCAAGGTTTGAGGACACACCCATGGCACAGTCTCAGGAAGTCCTAATGATATGTTCCCAAGGTGGTCAGGGCACAGCTTAGTTTTACGCATTTTAGGAAGACATGAGACATCAATCAGTGTATGTAAGAAGTACACTGGTTTCGTCTGGAAAGATGGGAAAACCTGAAGCAAAGGGAGGAAAACTTGAAGTGGTGAGGAAGCTTTCAGGTCACAGATAGTTATCCACAAAGGGTTACATTCTTTCGAGTTTCTGATTAGCCTTTCCAAAGGTGGCAAGTCAGATGTGCATCTATCTCAGTGAGCAGAGAGGTGACTTTGAAAAGAATGGGAGGCAGTTTGCCCTAAGCAATTTCCAGCTTGAGTTTTCCTTAGTGATTTTGGGGGCCTGAGATTTTTTCCTTACACAACTTCAAATTATATATTTTCTTTCATCCTCACCATCTTTATTCTATAACTTGAACAAATTCTAAAAAGGCTCATTTGCTTAGTTATCAGAATATGTAATTGAAGAAAACTTTAGAAAAACCTTTTCCTCAATAGTTAATATGCCTTTCTCCTAACTGTCTGCTGCTTCTCATTAGTATTATTTGTTGTTAATAAATTAAAGATTTATTAATTCCTACTTTAAAGGGCATTAATTTCTGGTGTTTAAGTTATTGTTTCTTGCTGTCTCTTTGTTTAAATCAAATTTTCTGTTTATTTTTCCCTAACAAATTACCCAAAGTTTAGTCACTGAAAACATTTATTTAGTTCAGCAATGTGTGGGTTGGGAAAAGCTTGGCCAGTACAGCTTTTTTTTGTTCTCCTGAGATTCACTTGGGATGAATCAGAGGTTGGAAGACTGGAATCATCTGAAGACTTGTTCCCTAACAGTCTGGTTGTTGACGATGGCACTGACTGAAACTGTACTTGGGGCAGGCAGAGAACACTGGAACTTCTAGGTTCTCTTTGTGGCCTGAGCTTTCTCACCACATGGGGGCTAAGTTCGAAGGACAAGCAGTATGAGGTAGGGGCCTTTTCTAACTTAATGTTGGAAGGCACATGATAATCACTTTTGCCACATTTCTTCATTAGCGGCAACTCACTAGGGTTGGTCCACAGTCTACTTCTTTATAGGATCATTTCTTCTTCTATTTTTATTATTTATCTATATATCTATATTAGAGATGGGGTCTCACTATGTTACCCAAGCTGACCTTCAACTCCTGGGCTCAAGGGATCCTCCCACTTCAGCCTCCCAAGTTGCTGTGACTACAGGCATGTTACTCCATGCCTGGCTTTCTTTTATATTCTGTGGTCATGTATATTTGTACATATTTATAGGATACACAATAATATTTTGTTACATATAAACAATGTATAATCATAAAATCAGACTAATTATTATATCCAGCCCCTCAATCATTTACCATTCTTTTTTTGTGAACATTCAGAATCCTCGATTCTTGCTTTTAAAAATATGCAATAAATCATAGTTAATCATATTCACCATACAATGCCACAGAACAATAAGGTTCATTCTATCGAGTGATAATTTGTATCCATTAGCCAACCTCACCCCATATCCCACTTCCCTCATTTCCCAGCCTTTAATATCCACAATTCTATTCTCTATTTCCATGAGTTCAATTTTTAAAAATTTTGGCTCCCACATGAGTGAGAACGTACAGTATTTGTTCTTCCGTGCCTGACTTATTTTACTTAACATAATGTCCTCTGAGGTCATCTATGTTGCTGAGAATGTTATAATTTTATTCTCTTTTATGGCTGAATAGTATTCCATTGTGTGCAGATACTGCATTTTCTTTATGCATTCATCTGTTGATATCCATTTAGGTAAATTCCATATCTTAATAATTATAAATAATGATATAATCAAAATGGCAGTGCTGGTATTTCTTTGATACATTTATTTTCTTTCTTTTTGATAAATACTAGTGGGATTGCTGGATTATATGATAGTTCTATTTTTAGTTTTTAAGAAACCTTCACACTGTTTTCCTTAATGGCTGTACTAATTTACATTGCCTTTGTCAGTGCATAAGAGTTTCCTTTTTTTCTGCAACCTCACCAGCATTATTACTTTCTGTCTTTTTGATAGTAGCCATTCTAACTGTAGTGAGATATCTCATTGCAGGTTTATTTCATTTTCCTGATGATTACTATGTTTTTTTTCATATATTTGTGGCCATTCATACATCTTCTTTTGAGAAATGTCCATTCAGATCTTTTGCTCAGTTTTTATTCAGATTATTAACTTTGTTTTTTCTGTTGAGTTGTCTGAGTTCCTTGAATACTGTGATTTTTAGACACTTTTCAGATGGATAGATTGCAAATATTTTCTTCCATTCTTCATGTTGTCTCTTCACTCTGTTGGTTGTTTACTTTGCTACGAAGAAACTTTAATTTTAATATAGTCTCATTTGTCTATTTTTCACTGTGCTTTTGATGTTTTAGTCACCACATCTTTGCCTAGACAATGTACTGAAACATTTCCCCTATGTTCTCCTCTAGTAGTTCTATAATTTTGGGTCTTATGTTTGTCTTTAATCCATTTCTAGTAGATTTCTTTATATGGTAAAACATAGAGATCTAGTTTCATTCTTCTGATATCCAGTGTCCCCACCCTTACTTGTGCAGGAAATTGGTTAGAATTGTGGGAGAAATTTTAGAAAACACAAACCTTCTTGGAAGGCCAGAAGGTTTTGCAAAAGCCTGGGAAGAAGGTTATGGCTGAAAGCAGCATAATCCTCTTACCTTAAGCTAATAGCATAGAGCAGATAACAAAGAAACGTACAGGAGTTTATCTAACTAGCTTATTTACTCATGTGGTCTTAAGACTGATCTTTGATCTTCCCTGGGTGCATGACTGCTCTCTACTGGGGGGGAGGGGTGTTGGCAATGCTAATTACCTTCTTATGGTGTTTACTTGAGACCTTTGTCATTTAATCTGTACTAAATAAATGTGAACATGGCCAGTTTTGTGGGGGCACTGCTGACTTTGACAGTGGGCCCCTGGCCACACTGACTAGCAAGCCTGTGTCAGTGTAAGTATTTTATCCATCGCTTGGTTGAGTCTGCCAGTTGGACTTGACAATTTGTTGATGAGAATGTTGTTTCCCCAGTGGATGTTCTTGACACTTTTATAAAAAAAAATCAGATAGCTGTAAATATGTGAATTAATTCCTGGGTTCTCTATTCTTTGTGTTGGTGTGTGAATAGATTGCAAATAAAAATTTGTTTTTATACCAAAACTATGTGTTTTGGTTACTGTATTCTTGATATAATTTGAAGTTAGGTAGAGTGATGCCTACAGGTTTTTTCCTCAGGATTGGTTTGGCTAATGTGACCCGTTTTTGGTTTCATATCAGTTTTAGAGTCATTTTTCCTAACACTGTGAAAAAATGATGTTGGTAGCTTGATAGAATAGTGTTGAATCTGTAGATTTCCTTGGGCAGTATAACCATTTTGATGATACTCATTCTTACAATCCATGAGCATTGATTTTTTTCATTTGTTTGTTTAATTTCTAATTTCTTTCAGCAGTGTTTATATTTCTTCTTGTAAAAATCTTTTATTTATTTGGTCAGATGCATTTCCAGGCATTTTATTTTTTGTGACTATTTGTAAATGGGATTGTGTTCTTTCTTTGGCTTTCACCCAAAACATTATTGGTATATAGAAATTCTGCTGATATTTGTACATTGATTTGTAGCTAGAAACTTTGCTGAAATTGTTATCAGGTCTACGAGCCTTTTGATAGTCTTTAGGGTTGTCTAGGTGTGCAATCATATCATATCATTCATTGTCTATGTGTGCAGTCATATCAATTGCATCATAAAAGAGATAGTTTGGGCCGGGCGCGGTGGCTCAAGCCTGTAATCCCAGCACTTTGGGAGGCCGAGGCGGGTGGATCACGAGGTCAAGAGATCAAGACCATCCTGGTCAACATGGTGAAACCCCGTCTCTACTAAAAATTACAAAAAATTAGCTGGGCATGATGGTGCGTGCCTGTAATCCCAGCTACTCAGGAGGCTGAGGCAGGAGAATTGCCTGAACCCAGGGGGCGGAGGTTGCAGTGAGCCGAGATTGCGCCATTGCACTCCAGCCTGGGTAACAAGAGCGAAACTCCGTCTCAAAAAAAAAAAAAAAAAAAGAGATAGTTTGACTTTTTCAGGTCTGTTTGGATGCTTTTAATTTTTTTCTCCTGCCTGATTGCCCTGGCTAGGACTTCTAGTGCTACGTTTAATAGGAATGGAGAGAGTGGGCATCTTTGTCCTGTTTTAGTTCTGAAGGAAAATGGTTCCAAGTTTAGCCCATCGAGTATGATGTTGGCTGTGGGTTTGTCATAGGTGGCTCTCCTTTTGAGATATGTTCCTTTGATACCTAATTTGTTGAAGGTTTTGGTCATGAAGGAATATTGGGGTCTCCTGAAAGCTTTTCCTGAATCTGTTAAGATAATCATATGGTTTTAAAAAATTCTGTTTATGTGGTGAATCACATTTGTTACTTTGTATATGTTGAGCCAACTTTGCATTCCAGGAATAAATCCTGTTAGATTGTAGAAAAGTGAATTGTGATATGTTGCAGGATTTGGCTGTTTAATGTTTTGTTGAGAATTTTTGTGTTTATGTTCATCAGAGATATTGGCCTGCATTTTTCTTTATTCATTGCATCTTTCTCAGCTTTTAATATCAAGATTATGCTGTTTTCATAGATTGAGTTAGGGAGGAGTCCCTCAAACTCCATAGTTTGGAATAGTTTCAGTAGGATTGGTAACAGATCTTCTTTGTATGTCTGGTAGAATTTGGCTCCGAATCCATTGGGTCCAGGGCTTTTTCTTTGGTTACTAGGTTTCTAAATTACTGATTCAATTTCAGAACTTGTTATTGTCTGTTCAGGATTTTAATTTCTCCTTGGTTCAATCTTGGGAGGTTTTGTATTTCTGGGAATTTATTCATTTTCTCTTGACTTCCTAGTTTCTGTGCATAGAGGTGTTCATAATAGTCTCTGATGATATTTTATATTTCTGTGGGATCCATTGTAATGCCATCTTTGTCATTTATGATTTTGCTTATTTGGATCTTCTCTATTTTTTCTTTGTTAATGTTGCTGTCTATCTATTGATCTTGTTTATTCTTCAAAGAACAAACTTTTGGTTTTGTTGATTATTTCTAAGGATGCTCATGTCTCAGATTTATTCAGTTTTGCTCTGGTTTTAGTTATTTATTTGTTGGTGTTTTGCTTACATTCTTACTGTGTATTTTGTATGTTGCTGGCCCCAACCCTGGAGTGATCACTTCTCTAAAAGCCCTGAATCCTTTTACTAGAGAATGGTATTCAGAAACCAAGATCTGGGTGCCAGGTTTTCTGGGTGTCAGATACTCTCAGCAAAGACATATATGTATATGTACTGATCTATGTAGACGCACATATCTATATTTCTGTATCCATGTATCTGTATCTATATTTTTTTAAAATATGGATCTTTGCTCATATGTTTTTTAAAAAAAATAAAATTATTTGTTTAGAGACAGGGTCTCACTCTGTTGTCCATGTTGGAGTTCTGTGGTGCAATCATGGCTCACTGCAGCCTCAAACTTACGAGCTCGAGTGATCCTCCTGCCTCAATCTCCCAAGTAGCTAGGACTACAGGTACATGCCACCATGCCTGGCTATATTTTTTTAGTTTTTATGGAGACTGGGTCTTGCTATGTTGCACAAGTTTGCTTCAACTTTTGGTCTAAAGCAATTCTCCTTCCTCAGCTTCCCAAAGTGTTTTACAGGTATGGACCATCATGCCTGAACTTGGTACCTTATTTTGAGAGCCCCCAGCTAAACTGGGGTTCCAGTACCAGTTTACCTAGCAACTCTACCCCAACAGGATATGAAGGGGAGATGGATGTGGGTGTTTACAGTATGCCTTTCATGGGATACTTCTTTTACCTGGACGATGGTATAAGGCCTAGTTGCCTGACCTGAGTGGGGGTCCCTCACATGGTAAATTGGTTTATTTTATTCTTATTGTTATTATTTTTAAATTTAATTTTTAAATTGAGGCACATGTGCAGAACATGATGGTTTGTTACATAGGTATACACGTGCCATGGTGGTTTGCTGCACCCATCAACCTGTCATCTACATTAGGTATTTCTCCTAATGCTATCCCTCCACGAACCCCCAACTCCCAACAGGCCCTGGTGTGTGATGTTCCCCTTCTTGTGTCCATTTATTCTCATTGTCCAACTCCCACTTATGAGTGAGGACATGTGGTTTGGTTTTCTGTTCTTGTGTTTGTTTGCTGACAATGATGGTTTCTAGCTTCGTCCAGGTGACATGAATTCATCCCTTTTTATGGCTGCATAGTATTCCATGGTGTACATGTGCCACATTTTCTTTATCCAGTCTATCACTGATGGATATTTGGGTTGGTTTCAAATATTTGCTCTTGTGAACAGTGCCACAGTAAACATACATGTGCATGTGTTTTTATAGTAGAATGATTTATAATCCTTTGGATATCTACACAGTAATGGGATTGCTGGGTCAAATGTATCTCTAGTTCTAGATCCTTGAGGAATTGCTACACTGTCTTCCACAATGGTTGAACTAATTTACGCTCCCACCAATAGTATAAAAGTATTTCTGTTCTCCACATCCTGTCCAGCATTTGTTGTCTCCAGACTTTTTAATGATTGTCATTCTAACTGGTGTGATCTGGCATCTCATCGTGGTTTTGATTTACATCTCTGTAATGAGCAGTGATAATGAGCTTTTTTTCATGTTTGTTGGCTGCATAAATTTCTTCTGAGAAGTGTCTGTACATATCCTTTGCCCACTTTTTGATGGGGTTGTTTGTTTTTTTCTTGTAGATTTGTTTAAGTTCTTTGTAGATTCTGGATATTATCCCTTTGTCAGAAAGATAGATTGCAAAAATTTTCTTCCATTCTGTAGGTTGCCTGTTCATTCTGATGATAGTTTCTTTTGCTGTACAGAAGCTCTTTAGTTTAAATAGGTCCCATTTGTCAATTTTGGCTTTTGTTGCCGTTGCTTTGGTGTTTTAGTCATGAAGTCTTTGCCCATGCCTATGACCTGAAATGGCATTACCTACATTTTCTTCTGGGGTTTTTATGGTTTTAGGTCTTATGTTTAAGTCTTTAATCCATCTGGAGTTAATTTTTGTATAAGTTGTAAGGAAAGGGTCCGGTTTCAGTTTTCTGCATATGGCTAGCCAGTTTTTACAACACCATTTATTAAATAAAGAATTATTTCTCCATTGCTTGTTTCTGTCAGGTTTGTCAAAGATCAGATGGTTGTAGATAGGTGGTGTTATTTCTGAGACCTCTGTTCTGTTCCATTGGTTTATATATCTGTTTTTGTACCAGTGCCATGCTGTTTTGTATGGCATGGTGTTTTGGTACCAGTGCCATGCTGTAGCATTGTAGTATAGTTTGAAGTCAGATAGTGTGATGCCTCAAGCTTTGCTCTTTTTGCTTAAGATCATCTTGCCTATATGGGCTCTTTTTTGGTTCTATATGAAATTTAAAATAGTTTTTTCTTATTCTGTGAAGAAAGTCAATGGCAGCTTGATGGGGGCATAGCATTGAATCTAAAAATTACTTTGAGCAGTGTGGCCATTTCACAATATTGATTCTTCCTAGTCATGAGTATGGAATGTTTTTCCATTTGTTTGTGTCCTCTCTTATTTCCTTGAGCAGTGGTTTGTAGTTCTCCTTGAAAAAGTCCTCCACATCCCTTGTAAGTTGTATGCTGTAGCAGTTGTGAATGGGAGTCCAGGGGAGTGAAGGGTTGTATCTCACTGGCATTTCAGGTGCCACTGGCGTATGAAAAAAACTCCTGCAGCTAGCTCAAATGTCTGCCCAAATGGCTTCCAATTTTGTGCTTGAAACCCAGGGCCCTGATGGCAAAGGCACCAGAGGGAATCTCTTGGTCTGTGGGTTGCAAAGCCCCTGGGAAAAGCATAGTATCTGGCTGTAGTGCACCATTCCTCACGTCACAGTCTCTCATGGCTTCCCTGGGTTAGGGGAGGTGTTACCTTGACCCCTTGTGCTTCCTGGGTGAGGTGACTCCCCACCCTGCTTTGGCTTGGCCTCTGCGGGCTGCATCCATTGTCTAACCCATGCCAGTGAAATGTGCTGGGTACCTCAGTTGCAAATGCAGAAAATACCTGCCTTCTATGTTGTTCTTGCTGGGAGCTGCAGACCGGAGCTGTTCCTATCGGCCCTCTTGCCTGGGAAACTAATTTTAGTTATTTCTTTTCTTCTGCCACTTTGAGGTTATTTGGTTCTTGTTTTGCTAGTTCTGGTAGATGTGATTTTAAGTTCTTAACTTGAAACCTAACATCTTGATGTCTGTATTTAATGGTATGTAATTTTTTCTTCACACTGCTTTTGTGTATTTCAGAGATTTTGGTATGTTCCATCTCTGTTTTTATTTATTTTCAAGATTTTTAAATATTTGTCTTTATTTTGTTCTTTACCCAAAAGTAATTCAGGAGCAATTTGTTTAATTTTCATATAATTTTGTGACATTGAGAGAAATTCTTGTTATGGGTTTTGATTTTTATTCCACTAGGGTTTAAGATTAGGCTTTGTATGCTTTCAGTTATTTATTTATTTATTTATTGAAATGGGGTTTCTCCATGTCGGCCAGGCTGGTCTTGAACTCTCGACCTCAGGTGATCTGCCTGCCTCAGCCTCCCAAAGGGCTGGGATTACAGGTGTGAGCCACCGCACCTGTCCCTGTTTTTTTTTTTTTTTTTAATGCATTGAGACTTGCTTTATGGCTCAACATGTGGTCGATTTCAGCATGTGTTTTCTATGCAGATAAGAAGAAGGTACATTCTGTGGTTGTTGGGGGGAGGATTCTGTAAGGGTCAATTAAGTTCAATAGGTGAAATGTCAAATTTAATTCTAGAATGTCTTTGTTACTTTTCTGTGTTAGCAATTTGTCTAATGCTGCCAATGAGGTGTTGAAGTCTGTATTATTGTGTGGCTATCTAAGTGTTTTCTTTTTTTTTTTTTGAGATGGAGTCTTGCTCTGTCTCCCAGGCTGAAGTGTAGTGGTGCAATCTCGGCTCATTGCAACCTCTGCCTCCTGGGTTCAAATGATTCTCCTGCCTCAGCCTCCTGAGTAGCAGGGATTACCGGTGTGCACCACCACACCAGGATGATTTTTGTATTTTTGGTGGAGATGGGGTTTCACCATGTTGGTAGAGCAGGTCTTGAACTCCTGATCTCGTGATCTGTTTGCCTTGGCCTCCCAAAGTGCTATGATTACAGGTGTGAGCCACCGTACCCAGCCATCTAAGTCTTATCATAGATCTGGAAGTACTTGTTTTAGAAATTTGATGCTACAAGTTTGGGTGCCTATAATTAAAAATATTTATGCCTTTTTGTTGAATTGAGTTCTTTTATTATTGTGTATAATTCTTTATCATCTTCTTCTTTGTCCTTTTTAAAAACTGTTGTTGGTTTAAAGTCTGCTTAATCTGATGTAAAAGTAGTGACACTTGCTTTTTTTGTTTTCCATTTGCATGCTAGATCTTAGTTTATGCCTTTACTTTGAGCCTGTTGGTGTAATTATATGTGAGATGGGTCTTTGGAAGACAGCAGATGGTTGGTTCTTGATTTTCTTTAATCCAACTTGCCAGTCTGTGCCTTCTAAGTGGGATGGATTATTTTATCCAAGGCTAATAATTATATGTCAGATTTTATTCTGCCAGGATGTTGTTATCTGGTTGCTTTGTAGCTTTATAAGGTCTGTGAGCCACATGCTTATATGTGTTTCTGTGGTCTCTTGGTCTTTCGTTTCCATGTTTAGAACTCCCTCAAGGATCTCTTGGAGGGCTGGTCTAATGGTATTAAATTCCGTTAGCATTTGTTTGTCTGGAAAAGATTTTTTTCTCCTTCACTTATGAAGCTTAGTTTGAGAGGATATAAAATTTGGGGTTTGAATTTCTTTAAGCATGCTAAAAGTAGGCCAACACTCTTCTGGCTTGTATTGCTGACAAGTCTGCTGTTAGCTTGATGGGGTTCCTTTTGTATATGATCTGACCCTTTTCTCTCGCAGCCATAAGATTTTCATGTTGACTTTTGGATCCTTTCACTATGTATCTTTGGAATGACCATCTTGTATAGTATCTTATCTCTGAATTTCTTGAATTTGCATATCAACTTCTCTAATGAGTTTGGGGAAGATTTTGTGGACTATATTCTCAAATATGTTTTCCAAATTTCTTACTCTTTCTCCGCAATGCCAACAAGTCATAGTTTGTTATTTTCATCTGATTGGGTTGATTCAAAGGTCCAGATTTCAAGCCCTATAATTTTCCCCTCTGCTTGGTCTAGTCTGCTGTCGAGGCTTCCAATTGTATTTTGAAATCCCTATAGTGAGTTGTTCAATCCAACAAGCTCAGTTTTCTTCTTTCTTAAAATGGATATGTTCTCTTTCAACTCTTGAATTATTTTACTGGCTTTCTTGGTTAGGTTTCAGCTTTCCCTTGGATCTCATTGTGCTTCCTTGCCATCCAGATTCTGGATTCTATGACTGTAATTTCAGCATTTCCATCTGGTTAGAATCCACTGCTGAGGAGCTAATGTGATCCTATGGAGGTTGGAAAACACTGACTTTTTGAATTGTTGGACTTCTTTCACAGATGCTTTCTCGTCTGAGAGGGCCGGTGTTTATCTTTTTGAAATTGCTGTCATTTGGATAGGAATTTTTGTTTTTATATTCTTATTCTTCCCTTCAGATTTTGACTGTTGTGCATGTTGTATACAGTTCATTGGTTTAGTCTCTGGGTTCTTTCAGAAGGCCAAGGCTGTTTATGAATTTCTTTTCTTTGAGATAAAGTTTTGTTCTTGTCACCCAAGCTGAAGTGCAATGGTTTGATCTCGGCTCACTATAACTTCCACCTCCTGGGTTCAAGTGATTCTCCTGCCTCAGCCTCCCAAGGAGCTGGGATTACAGGCACCTGCCACTACCCCTGGCAATTTTGTGTATTAGTAGAGATGGGGTTTCACCATGTTGGCCAGGCCAGTCTTGAACTCCTGACCTGAGGTGATTCACCTGTCTTGGCCTTCCAAAATGCTGAGATTGCAGGCATGAGCCACCCTCCACACCTGGCCTCTATGGATTTCTTAATTATGGATAGTTTCTGTATTGGTTTTCACCGACTAATTGTGTTGAGGGAATTTATTTTTGTTTGGTGGTGTAATTCTGACTTCATTCCCATAGATGGTGCTTTGGAGTAAGGACTGGTAGATAGGCTCCTCACTCAGGGGCATAACTCTTTTGTGTATCATTGTGTTTGCAGCAATGGGTATGTCTGCGGGTGTTTGTAGATGCTGTGGGTCAAGGGTGAAAGTTTCTTGGGCAGGGTGGGTGGTGCCATGGATGTGCAGCTGGTGTGGTGCCCACAGCCTGGAGTTTTTTTGCTCAGCAGTTGGCTTTGAGGACCATTCAGCTCATGTTCACTTGACCAGGTTTTCTGTGATACATGCTTTTAGGTAAGGCCTGACCAGCTAGTTTTGTCCCAAGCCTTCTGCACCCAAATCTTTGGGCTTACATGTTCCAGGCCACAGGTTTTTCTTGGATGGAGGCTGTGGCCAGCCAACAGGCTATGGTTTTCCAAGACCAGTCTTGCAGAAGGAGGCACATCCAGTTCCCTTGCCGGCACATGAACCTGTGCCTCATTCTTCTCAGTGTTCTGAGAGTGGGGAGCACCACCTCAACTTGAGCTCAGGCCACAGATACCAGCTTAATACCCCTTGACTGTGCACTCAAACCCTGGGAAGCTGGGATGGGTCTGGTATTTATATTCTCTGGTACCTCAGGGTCAAGCTCTGGCTGTTCTGGAGCAGGAAAACTGCTTTCAGGCTGAGTAGAAAAACACTCAGATGAGGCAGTTGAGGCTGTGCTATGTGTACACCCTTGAGAGAGCAACGAGGCAGGAACTGGGGAAGGGAGTGGCACACAAGGAGGTGTGCAGATCAGATGCACTTCAGGCCCTCTGAAAAGGCAGCCTGCTATCTCCTGGTCTGGCTGTCAGGAGGTGGTAGACTGACTCAGAAAGATGGTGAGCCTTGGGGGATGGGTATTTATTGTCATATTTTCCTGCAGCTGCCTCATGCATGAAGCCTTTTGGGCTCCATGCATGTTCAAGCTCTGCCCCTCCCTATGCTCTTGGCAGTTCCCCCTGCCAATTCAAATGTCTGTGTGTGTTATGGGATCTCTTGTAGCTGGAATCTCAGAGGTCCATGGAAGGAGTGTGTGACCTACAGTTTCTTCACTCTTTCCTTCCGTAGATCCAATTCTGGACCAAAAGCTGGTCCAGGTGACTGGTGACTCCATCTTGCTTCCTAGCTTCCTTCCTCTTCAACCTCAGTGTCTGCATTGCCTCTCCATTTATTTTGAGTGCTTTTTTTCCTCAAAGTTCTGTTCAAAGTGTGATGGTTTGCTCAATATTTTGTTTTCTGTCTGTGGAAGAGCTGTTTCCTGGCTGCATCCAGTTGACCATCTTGTCCCTCAGCTAAAAACATAATTTATATTTTGATATGGTTTGCCTCTCTTTCCCAACCCAAACCTCATCTCAAATTATAATCCCCATGTGTAGAAGGAGAGACCTATAATCCCCACATGTTAAGGGAGGGACCTGATTGGATCATGGGGGCAGTTTCCTCCATGCTGTTCTCATGAGAGTGAGTGAGTTCTCACGATAGTGAGTGAGTTCTCACATGATCTGGTGGTTTTATAAGGGTCTCTTTCTCCTTCACTTTCTCCTCTCTCTCCTGCCACCCATATAAGTAAGATGTGCCTGCTTCCCCTTCTGCTGCGATTGTAAGTTTCCTGAGGCCTCCCCAGCTATGCAGAACTGTGAGTCCGATTAAACCTATTTTTCATACATTTTACTCAGTCTTGGGTAGTATATTTATAGCAGTGTGAAATTGGACTAATACATATTTTATTGGATATCATATGTAACCCGTCAATTCCTTCAGGTAGTATTTTAACAATATTAATTCTTTAAATTCATGAGCATGGGATATATTTCCATTTGTTTTTGTCCTCTACCGTTTCTTTCATCAGTGTTTCATAGTTTTTCTTACAGGGAAGCTCTGTCACCTCCTTGGTTAAACTTGTTCCTGAGTAGTATTTTATTATTTTTTAGCTGTTGTAATTGGTGTTAATTTCTAGTTTTATTCCATTGCAGTTTGAGAAGATGCTTGATATGATTTCAAGTTTTTGAAATCTGCTAAGACTTGTTTTCTGGTGTAATATATGGTCTATCCTGGAGAATGTTCTGTGTGCCCATGAGAAGAATGTGTACTCTGCAGCAATTTGAGGAAATGTTCTGAGAGTTTCTTTGAGGAGTTTAGGTTGTTCTATATATAGGATCAGGTCTTGTGCAAATAGAAACAATTCGACTTCTTCTTTCCCAATTTAGAGGCCCTCCATTTTTTTTCTCACCCAGTTGCTCTGGGTAAGACTTCTAGTGCTGGGTTGAATACAACTGCTGAATGTGGGTGTCCTTGCCTTATGCTGGTTCTTAGAGGAAAGACTTGCAGCTTTTCCTCAGTCAGTGTAATGTTAGCTGTGGTTTTGCCATATATGTCCTTTGTTGTGTTGAAATATGTTCCTTGTATGCCTAATTTATTGGATTTTTTTTAATAATAAAGATTCATTAATTAAGGCTTGTTTTCAAGTCTTCTTCTGGGAGTGATTTATTGGCTTAGGTCTGAATAATTTAATATGGCATCCCTAACACTCCTTTAGAAAATGTGGGGAATGGCAAAGGATGTGAAGAGGCGGGAGACTTTGTACTAAGAAGTGACTTAGACTAGGTGCTGTGGCTCACGCCTGGAATCCCAACACTTTGGGAGGCCAAGGTGGGTGGATCATGATGTCAGGAGTTCAAGGCCAGCCTGGCTAACATCTCTACTAAAAATACAAAACCCCATCTGTGAAATCCTGTCTCTACTAAAAATACAAAAAATTAGCTGGACACAGTGGCAGATGCCTGTAATCTTAGCTACTTGGGAGGCTAAGGCAGGAGAATCTCTTGACCCTGGGAGGTGGAGGATGCAGTGAGCCGAGACCATGCCACTGTACTCCAGTCTGGGCAACAGAGCAAAACTCCATTTCAAAAACAAAAAGTGACTTTGAGCCATTTTAAAGAGGAAATACATTAAACAGTTAGGAAAATGAAAGTCTACTATCACGTAAAAATGTATGGCAAAGGTGATTGTGAGTAAAACCTATTTTTGTGATTCCTTTTGGTTTTAAATTTGTTTTTGATATTCTAAGTAATTCAAGGATCCATATTTTAAGAATCTACTGCTATAGGTAACATTTTATTGCAACTGAATCTATTTAAAAAATTATTCTTTTTATGTTAGGCTATTCTAAGTCTTCTTTCTCCATTACCAAACCACATTATTTTACTTACACGGACCGATCTTACGGAAGCAGTGGAAACTGCATCTTCAGACGGTCTACATGTAGATGAAGAGATTAAAGTTCTTCTGCAGGCATTATTATCTCTAAAAACAATGGAAAACAAACATGAACCACTGCAGAAGGATGAGGAGAAGTTGGAAGAACTAATAAACCTCAAAAGTTACATGGAAATGAGTATGTGAGAACATAGTCCATTGAAACGCTGTAAATAGGAGGATGAAGGAAGAGCATGCCAGGAGATAACAGAAGAATTAGAAAACATCCGTCAATTTATACAGGTTAGTTTGTTTATCTGTAATGTGCCTTCATTCATTTCACTGCAAATTATATTTTGGATATATATATATATATATATATATATATTATGTGTTTTTGCTACTTATCTTATAGTGATTTGGTAGATTTCTAGAAGGAAAGTGGTATCTGTTTCTCTCTTTAAATATTTTACTTGCCATTATTATTGTAACTAATTTGATCTTCCATAATAATGATTCTCATCATTTGATTACTAAGACCAGTTGACATAAAACAAGACTACTAGAAAAAGAGATGCGATTTAGAAATTATACTATACTCTTGAATTATTCTTTATTTTATTTTTATTTTTTATTTATTGTACTTTAGATTCTGGGGTAGATGTGCAGATCATGCAAGACTGTTGCATATGTGCATTCATGGCAAGGTGGTTTGTTGCCGCCATCCCCCCATCACCTGTAACTGACATTTCTCCCGACCTCATCCTTCCCCCACCCTCCCTCCTGCTATCCCTCCTGTAGCCTCCCCCAATGGACCCCAGTGTATGAAGCTCCCCTCTTTGTGTCCAAGTGTTCTCATTGTTCAACATTCACCTATGAGTGAGAACATGTGGTGTTTGATTTTCTGTTCTTGTGTCAGTTTGCTGAGAATGATGGTTTCCAGGTTCATCCATGTCCCTGCAAAGGAAATGAACTCATCCTTTTTTATGGTCGCATAGTATTCCATGGTGTATATGTGCCACATTTTCTTTGTTCAGTCTGTCATCGATGGGCATTTGGGTGGTTTCCAGGTCTTTGCTATTGTAAACAGTGCTGAAATGAACATACATGTGCATGTGTCTTTATAATAGAACAATTTATAATCCTTTGGATATATACCCAGTAATGGGATTGCTGGGTCAAATGGAATTTCTATTTCTAGGTTCTTCAGGAATCGCCACACTGTCTTCCACAATGGTTGAACTAATTTACACTTCCACTAACAATGTAAAAGTGTTCCTATTTCTCCACATCCTCTCCAGCATTCGTTGTTTCCAGATTTTTTAATGATTGCCATTCTAACTGGTGTGAGATGGTATCTCAATGTGGTTTCGATTTCCATTTCTCTAATGACCAGTGATGATGAGCATTTTATCATATGTTTCTTGGCCTCATATATGTCTTCTTTTGAAAAGTGTCTGTTCATATCCTTTGCCCACTTTCGAATGGGGTTTTTGGTTTATTTCTTGTAAATCTGTTTTAGTTCTTTGGAGATTCTGGATATAAGTCCTTTTTCAGATGGGTAGATTGCAAAAATTTTTTCCCATTCTGTTGGTTGCCAGTTCATTCTAATGATTGTTTCTTTTGCTGTGCAGAAGCTGTGGAGTTTAATTAGGTCCCATTTGTCTATTTTGGCTTTTGTTGCCAATGCTTTTGGTGTTTTAGTCATAAAGTCCTTGCCTATGCCTGCATCCTGAAAGTTTTTGCCTAGGTTTTATTCTAGGATTTTTATGGTGTTAGGTCTGTGTTTAAGTCTTTAATCCATCTGGAGTTAATTTTACTGTAAGGTGTCAGGAAGGGGTCCAGTTTCTGCTTTCTGCACATGGCTAGTCAGTTTTCCCAACACAACTTATTAAACAGGGAATCCTTTACCCATTGCTTGTTTTTGTCAGGTTTGTCAAAGATCAGATGGTTGTAGATGTGTGGCATTGCCTCGGAGGTCTCTGCCCTGTTCCATGGGTCTATGTCTCTGTTTTAGTACCAGTACTATGCTGTTTTGATTACTGTAGCCTTGTAGTACAGTTTGAAGTCAGGTAGCATGATGCCTCCAGCTTTGTTCCTTTTGCATAGAATTAACTTGTCTATGTGAGCTCTCTTTTGGTTCCATATGAAGTTTAAGGTGGTGTTTTCCAGTTCTGTGAAGAAGGTCATTGATAGCTTGATGGAGATAGCGTTGAATCTATAAATTACTTTGGGCAGTATGGCAATTTTCATGATATTGATTCTTCCTAACCATGAGCATGGAATGTTTCTCCATCCATTTGTATCCTCTCTTATTTCATTGAGCAGTGGTTTCTAGTTCTCCTTGAAGAGGTCTTTTACATCCTTTGATAGTTGTATTCCTGGGCATTTTATTTTCTTTGTAGCAATTGTGAATGGCAGTTCATTCTTGATTTGGCTCTCTTTAAGTCTGTTATTGGTGTATAGGAATGCGTGTGATTTCTGCACATTGATTTTGTGTCCTGAGACTTCGCTGAAGTTGCTTATCAGTTTCAGGAGATTTTGGGCTGAGATGATGGGGTCTTCTAAATATACAATCATGTCGTCTGCAAATAGAGGCAATTCGACTTCTTCCTTTCCTAAGTGAATAGCCTTTATTTCTCTTTCTTGCCTGATTGCTCTGGCTAGAACTTCCAGTACTATATTGAATAGGAGTGGTGAGGGAGGGCATCCTTCTCTAGTGGCAGATTTCAAAGGTAATGCTTCCAGTTATTGCCCATTCAGTATGATATTGGCTGTGGGTTTGTCATAAATAGCTTTTATTATTTTGAGATACATTCCATTGATACCTAGTATTCAGAGTTTTTAACATGAAAGGCTGTTGAATTTTGTTGAAGGCCTTCTCTGCATCTATTGAGATAATCATGTGGTTTTTGTCTTTGGTTCTGTTTATGAGTGAATTTTGTCTATAGACTTGGGTATGTTGAACCAGCCTTGCATCCCAGGATGAAGCCTACTTGATTGTGATGGATAAGCTTTTTGATTTGCTGTTGCAATCGATTTGCCACTATTTTATTGAAGATTTTTGCATCTATGTTCATCATGGATATTGGCCTGAAGTTTTCTTTTGTTGTTGAGTCTCTGCCAGGTTTTGGTATCAGGATGATGTTGGTCTCATAAAATGATTTGGGGAGGATTCCCTCTTTTTGGATTGTTTGGAATAGTTTCTGAAGGAGTGGTACCAGCTCCTTTTTGTATGTCTGGTAGAATTCAGCTGTGAAACCATCTGGACCTGGGCAGTTTTTGGTTGGTAGGCTATGAATTGCTGCCTCAACTTCAGCCCTTGTAATTCACCTATTCAGTGTTTTGACTTCTTCCTGGTTTAGGCTTGAGAGGGTGCAGGTGTCCAGGAAATTATCCATTTCTTCCAGGCTTACTGGATTATGTGCATAGGGTTGTTTGTGGTAATCTCTGATGGTAGTTTGTATTTCTGTGGAATCTGTGGTGATACCCCTTTATTGTTTTTAATGCATCTATTTGATTCTTCTTTCTTTTTTATTAATCTGGCTAGCCGTATGTCTATTTTGGTTGACTTTTTTCAAAAAACCAGCTTCTGAATTTATTGATTTTTTTGACATTTTTTTTGTGTCTCTATCTCCTTCATTTCTGCTCTGATCTTAGTTATTATTATTTTTTTTTTCAGAAGAAGCAAACTTTTTTTTTTTAATTTTTTATTGGATTTTAGGTTTTGGGGTACATGAGCAGAGCATGTAAGACAGTTGCGTAGGAACACACATGGCAGTGTGCTTTTCTTTCCTTCTCCCCTTCACCCACATTTGGCATTTCTCCCCAGGCAATCCCTCCCCACCTTCCCCTTCCCACTGGCCCTCCCCTTTTCCCCCCAATAGACCCCAGTGTTTAGTACTCCCCTTTCTGTGTCCATGTGTTCTCATTTTTCATCACCCACCTATGAGTGAGAATATGCGGTGTTTCATTTTCTGTTCTTGTGTCAGTTTGCTGAGGATGACGTTCTCCAGATTCATCCATGTCCCTACAAACGACACAAACTCATCATTTCTGATTGCTGCATAATATTCCATGGTGTATATGTGCCACATTTTTCCAATCCAGTCTATTATCAATGGGCATTTGGGTTGATTCCAGGTCTTTGCTATTGTAAACAGTGCTGCAATGAACATTTGTGTACATGTGTCCTTATAGTAGAACGATTTATAGTCTTTTGGATATATACCCAGTAATGGGATTGCTGGATCAAATGGAATTTCTATTTCTAAGGCCTTGAGGAATCGCCACACTGTCTTCCACAATGGTTGAACTAATTTACACTCCCACCAACAGTGTAAAAGTGTTCCTTTTTTCTCCACATCCTCTCCAGCATCTGTTGTCTCCAGATTTTTTAATGATCGCCATTCTAACTGGCGTGAGATGGTATCTCAATGTGGTTTTGATTTGCATCTCTCTGATGACCAGTGACGATGAGCATTTTTTCATATGATTGTTGGCCTCATATATGTCTTCTTTTGTAAAGTGTCTGTTCATATCCTTTGCCCACTTTTGAATGGGCTTGTTTGTTTTTTTCCTGTAAATCCGTTTGAGTTCTTTGTAAATTCTGGATATCAGCCCTTTGTCAGATGGGTAAACTGCAAAAATTTTTTCCCATTCTGTTGGTTGCCGATCCACTCTAATGACTGTTTCTTTTGCTGTGCAGAAGCTGTGGAGTTTCATTAGGTCCCATTTGTCTATTTTGGCTTTTGTCGCCAATGCTTTTGGTGTTCTGTTCATAAAGTCCTTGCCTACTCCTATGTCCTGGATAGTTTTGCCTAGATTTCCTTCTAGGGTTTTTATGGTGCCAGGTCTTATGTTTAAGTCTTTAATCCATCTGGAGTTAATTTTAGTGTAAGGTGTCAGGAAGGGGTCCAGTTTCTTCTTTCTGCACATGGCTAGCCAGTTTTCCCAACACCATTTGTTAAACAGGGAATCCTTTCCCCCTTGCTTGTTTTTGTCAGGTTTATCAAAGATTGTATAGTTGTAGATATGTTGTGTTGCCTCCGGTGCCTCTGTTTTGTTCCATTGGTCTATATCTCTGTTTTGGTACCAGTACCATGCTGTTTTGATTACTGTAGCCTTGTAGTCTAGTTTGAAATCCGGTAGTGTGATGCCCTCGGCTGTGTTCTTTTTGCTTAGAATTGACTTGGCTATGCGGGCTCTCTTTTGGTTCCATATGAAGTTCATGGTGGTTTTTTCCAGTTCTGTGAAGAAAGTCAATGGTAGCTTGATGGGGATAGCGTTGATTCTGTAAATTA